TTAAATGAATTTTTTTGAAATTTTGTATTAAATAAAAGTAACAATTAAATTTTTCAAACAAAAGGCAAATATTCGATTTGAAATATAGATTTTTTCCATTTTATTTTATTCTAATCAAAATAAATAAAAAAAAAAGGCAGTAAAAAAAATAAATAAAAAAAAAAGGCAGTAAAGAAAATTAAAATATCTTTGGGAAAATTATCAAATATTTTCTCCATTTTTAGCATAAATATGTTATCCGTGTATTATATGTACTGCAAAATTAGCATGCTTAATGTGACGTATTTGCTTAATATGACGTACGTTTAATGTGACGTACGCTTAATAATGATACACTTTTGGAAAGTTCCATAAGTTGCATTGATGTAATTGGATATTTGGTCAGAGAATAAAATTTTAAAGGAGGAAATAGCATTTCTTTTCTCCTCTATCAGTCATTCTCCGCTTCTGCTCTTTTGTCATTACTTTTACTACTATTCTCATCATCATTTTACATTTTATAAAATCATTTTTAATACTTTGTGAATTTCTAAATTTTTTTTTTTTAATTATAATTTGAATAAAATTTATAAAAATGCTTCTCACAGTAATAAATGTTAAAAACTTTTTGTTCTAACAAAATTAAAATTATTTACTTGAACTTTTAGCATTTAAACTACAAATGTTATTTTGAATTAGAAGTAATAATTAAAGATTGAACTTTTTGAAGTATTATTTCTTATCGTTTCTCATCGATACTTCATCATTTTATTGAAAGATTTTTTGAAACTTTCAAAAAAAAAAAAAAAAGAAGAGGAATTTAACTTTGTAATATTTTGTGAACAAATATTGTCCTTTGTTATGTTATTTTATTTTTTTTTTTCATTTTTAAACCATTTTTTCATGATAATTATTTTTAAAACAAACGAATAACTTAACTGATTGTCTCTTAGCAAGCAATGATTTCAATTTTCAATATGCTTAAATATGTTCCATTAATCATTTCAACAGAATGAATCCATAAAAATATATATATATATAAGTTAATTGAGTAAGAGAGAGCATTTATCAAATTTCCTCTTTTTAAAAAAAAAAAAAAATTCTTAATAGTAAATATTGATTTTTCAGCTATAACATTTGTCCGTTATGTGTTTGAGAAAGATTAAGTTAAATTTAAATTTAAATAATACCCCCCCTCCTCCCACCATATTCCTTCTCTCCTTTCTATCTCAATAATTTCAGGTTATTTCTAGTCATTTATCATTTTTTTTTTTTTTTTCATCTATTTTATAGCCTTCAAAGTTTCTATTTTTGAAAAAAAAAAAAAACTTTCAACTATATATGAAAGTTTAAACAGAGGCTAAAGATGCTTAAAAATTGCTGGAAGCAATATTTGGACATGAATCATTCCATCACATTGAGTGAAGCCTAAATCCCCCCCCTCCTCTTCCTCCCCCCCCTCCTAATCATCCCATTATTTTTAGCTCAGACTTTGAATTTTTCTCAATTTATAATTATAATTCCTTACTGAATGAAACTATGAAAGAACGAACTAAATTAATCGCATTTCTAATAAAATTATTTCTTTTTAAAATTATTTAAATTACCTTGATTAGATTAGATTTTTTGCTTGTGTTAAAATTGAAATTTGTATTATTATTTTTGCTATATTTCAAAAAAATTTTTGAAATGTTTGGACAAGAGTAATAATACTTTGCAAAAATATGATATAGGAGAAGTTCATATCATTTTATCTGATATCTATTTTGTTGTTTACAGTTATTGTTGTTTGATCAAACTTTTATTTCTGCAATTTGTTTCTCATTGGTTTTCTTTCTTTCTTTCTTTTTTTTTTTTTGGAAAAAGAAAAAATAAAGTAAATTTGTAAATAAATTAAATTAAACGGATCAGATAAAAATGGAAAAAAAAGAAATAAAAGAGAAAGATATCATTTCATTTTTTTTTTTTTTATAATAAAAGAAAAAAGCGAAAAAAAAAAAAAAAAAAAAAAACGACAATGATTGATTGAATTGTTAAATTTTCTGCTTCATCTGATATTTTTTGATGAAATTTTCATGATTTTTCCTTACTAAAAACGAAAAAAACGAAATTTTCAATTTTCACATTTGCGATTTATATTATTCGGTTTTATCTTTAAAAAAAAATATCTAAATTGTTGTATGTTAATGGAACAGAAAAAAAAAACAAAAAAATTATATTAACGGTTTTTTTTTTTTTTTTCATTTTTTGCTTTTAATTTTTTTTTTTTATTCTTTTTGAAGAGAAAATACTTTTTCATTTTGCCTTTTTTTTTTTTGCTTTTTGCTTCTTTAATTTTTTTTATTTTATAAATGAAATAATTAATGAGAATGATAAAAGTTTGTCATTGTCGTATTCATGTATGTATATTTTTCTCGTTTTTTTTTGTTTTGATTAAATTTTTAAATTTTGTAATTTAACTCAATTTTGATTGAAAATGTTTAATTTTAATATTTGCAAACAATATTGCTGTCTATTAGAATTCCAATCATTTTTTATTCATTTCACTCATTTGTTATTGTCGAGAAATTCTTTTGGTATCACCATTTGTTAAGGTTACAATTTCAATTTTCAATAATGATTCTATCGTCAGCTGTTATCTAGTTCGTTTAAAAATATTTCGTAGTTACATTTCAAAATTGGAACTAAGCTTTAGACTTTTTAATTTTATTAAATTTTTTGATATTATTTATATATTTAGCATAAATATTTTGCAAATTAATACAGTTTCTCATTTGAAAAATTTTTCTAAATATTTTTTAGTATCATATTTGTTTTACTGATACATTTTTATTCTTTTTACATTAATTTTTAATTTTTAATTACTTGTTAATATTTCTTTTGCAAATATTAATTTCAAAAAACAATTAATTATTGTAATTAATCGTTTTTGATATTGATTGATCAAATTAAACCAAATATTCAACTAAATTATCTACAGTAATTAGAATTGAAATTGAAATAACTGTAACAGTGATTGCAATGACAGCTGAAAATTTCCATTTTCATATTGACGAAATTAATATAATAATTAGTAATAATAATAACAAATAATAATAATAATGATAATAAATGATAAGTGGCAATAATAATAATAATGATAATAAATGATAAGTGGCAATAATAATAATAATAATAATAATGATAATAAATGATAAGTGGCAATAATAATAATGATAAGTGGCAATAATAGTAAATGCTCTCTCCCTGTTCCTCTTTACCTCTTGAAGTATAATTTAAATACCAATGCTACCAATGCTTTATACCCATGGGTGCACTCCCTCCCCCCCCCCCCCCCACCCGTAAAAGGCTAAACTACTTTATAGCAACTAGTTTGTTTGGATAAATAATGAAATAAATGATAGTTTATTTAGGCCCTATCCTTCCAAGAATAGCTTATTTTTAAAAACCTTTTCATGCTTTGCTCCAAATAATCTATTATTATTCATTTGAACCATTTCCTTAGCATTTCAATGCTATTTTCCTAACCATTTATCGTCATTATTATCAGTGAAATTTTTGTTGACACTTTTCAAGTATAATCATTTTAGAAAAAACACAAATACAATTTCATATATTGAAAAAAAAAAGAAGAAAAGAAAAGAAAATTGTTAATTAAAAAAACGCTAAATATTTAGCCCTGAAAACTTTGGCATTTCGATCTGTTTATTTCTTGATCTATTTATATGTGACATATTTCATCCATCTTATTGATGAACATTTGTCCAGAGCTTTTAGTTATTTATTTACTCATTTACTTCTAAAATATGCAACATCCCAATTAGCATAATGGAAATTTAATTGCTTTATATAAGCTTAATAATCTCAGAGTATTTCCATTTCCGCTATTTTAATATAACTTTTGGCCATTAGCGCCAATGCAATATCAACAATAATGATGAGTGCTTCTATGTCCAGCTTATTGGTTCCATTTTCCTTGCTTTCAAAAAATATTGTCACTCTATAGCCTGACGACTACTTTAATAATTTCAACAACACTGAAGTATTTTTGTTCATTTGCGCTCTCATTTCAGTATTTCAAATTTGAATTTCCTAAATTTCTAATCTTTAATTTGTCAAATTCATTTGCTTACTTATTCATTGCAAAAAAAAAAAAAAAAAAGAAGGAAAGAAAAAGAAGAAAAAACTTCCGACAAAAACATACTATTTGATATTTTGCAATTCTTTGCTGAACTTTTTCATATAAATGATTGTTAATTTGAAACGGAAACTTTAAAGGAGAAATTCTTTAATTTCTTAACTTTTTGTAATAAATTTTCAGACTTCTTTTCTGCTTTTATAGCTTTTTCAAAAGTTTCAATATGTATACATATTACTTATACTATGAAAAGTTTTAATATCTTTTGCTGTGAGGAAAAAATGGAGATGAATAAATGAAAACAAGAATGAACCGGAATGAACCGGAAAATGAAATGTGTTACTATTGATTTTCTTATCTTTTGTATAAAAGAAATGTTATGCAGAAAATACTTATCTATAGCAATCCTGAATTCCTGAAAAAATTAATTGTTAATTTGGAATTAAATTTACATATATTAGTTTTACAATTTATTATTTTAATAGTTTGATTTTTTTTTTTACAACTTATTATTTTAATAGTTTTGATTTCAATAATAATTATTATTGATATCAATTATCTTTATAATATATGATGTGATCGCTGCAAAATCTTACATTTTTGAGTTTTAAAAAATTTCTCAAATAATTTTTAAGGTTATCTGTTTTGTTTTGTTACCCTAAATGTAACATTCATTGGTTTTGTTGATGTTTCTTTTCTTTCGTTGACAATTACTTAATAGTGACTCTTAGAAATTTCATTTAATTCAACAGTTATTGATTTAAATATTTCATCTCAAAATGTGTCCTCTTTTTATTTTTTTTTTTTTTCTATTTTCTAGAAGATTTAAAAAAAATTTCAATTGAAGTGTTAAAATATTGGCATATATGTTGCAGTTATAATAATGTCATTGCTGATCGGTGCTGATAATTCGAATATTCCACATCCCGGTACATCGTTTAATGAGCTACCAACCATAAACCGTCATCATTATTCCGAATCGGTTGCTACCACTGCTACCACTACCATCAATAGTAATAGAAATAGCAATCTGAAATACCATGATAGTAATGGTGATGTAATAACGGTACTTACAAACAATCATGCAGCAGGTGGTAGTGATATGTCACCACGAAGTTTTCAACCTAATCACATTGATGACGATATGGATCCACAGGTGAATGAATAGAAAATATGCATCAAATTATCTTTTTTTTTTTTTTTTCACATATCTTAATTTGATTATATCACAATTTCATTTTGGTTTTATCACAATAGCTCATTCAATCATCAATTTTATATGCTATTAATGTTATTGAAATATGCAATAAATTATTCAATAAATGTTTTTAAATCTTATCATATCAGTGTAATAATTTATCTTTAATTTCTACTAAAACAAAAATTTCGGACAAATTGTTAGTTTGAAAGAATAAAAAGAAAAAAAAAAAAGGAAAGCTAGTAAGAATGGAAGTATAGTGATGTTAGCTTAAGTCCTTAGAGATTTAAAAAAAAAAAAAAAAAAAGTGAAGATAAAATTCAATAGCTGCAAAACTAAATGTCCAATTTTCATGATTATTCTTTCTTCTTTCAATAATATTCCATCTTTCGACATTAATTATACTCTTTGATTGATTTTTTCCATCGGAAATATTCAATAATATCGATTGGTAACATTAAAGTTTAACTTTGATCAAGCATCATTCCTCAATGAAAAAAAAAGAAATTGACGCTATCATCAGAAAATGTAATTTAAGTATTTTAAAATGTAATTTGAATAATCTAATAATTGTTAAGTAATGCTTGAGTTATTATTGATTGTAAAAATAGCGAATAAAAATTAGTTGAAAAGTTTTTACAATGAAAATTTTGAATGAATGACAAATCAAATTTGCATTATTTCTTTTCATAAATTAGTCATTATTAATTAGCAATATTAATTAATTCTAAAATATGCACAAAAGTTCTACAAATGTTAACAACAGAAAAGTTAGTCATCTTTTTTTTTAAAGTATAAGAATTTTTAACATTTTAAGTTTTTCGTTTTTGAAGAAACATTACATTTATAAAGTTTCAAAAAACTTTTTTCATATGATATTAGATATAAAAATATTTTTTTGGTAAATGTTTCAAAAATTCGAAAATATGAGAGTGTAAACATCGAGATGATTTGAGTACTCAAATAAATTTAATAATTGAAAATTAAAGAAGAAAAAAAATTTTTCCCTTCTTATTTTAACTATTCATTTCTATGTTGTAAAAATATATTTTCGTAGGCATCGTCAAATTTTATGTAAATTTTTTCTTTTTTGAATTGGTTATCTTTTTTATTAGCATTCTAAATTTGAGTATTTTTTGTGTAACCAATAGAAATATTATTGCAGATAATAATTAGTTTAATCTATATTAAAATTTTGATTTAAAAATATATTAATTTAAAATATATTGAAATTTAATTTAAAATATTGAAATATTGAAATTTAATTTAAAATTAAACCTTTTTCAATTCAAACTATAAAATTTCAAATTGAATCTTAATTTAAAAAAAAAAATTTTTTTATTTGGAAGCAAAAAGTGGAATATGCACTATTTATTTATTTTTAAAAATCGATAATAAAGTTTCATTTTAGGAATTGGCAACAATACCACGTAAATATGAATATTACTTCATGCCAAATAAATCACAAGTACTATTTTATTTGAGTGATGCATCACTGCTAAGGATTCGAAGAGCTGGAACTGAATTACAGGTACTTAATTACTCAATTAAATAATTTTTCATTTCTCATATTTTTTTGTCCATTTATTAAATTCTTAATTTTATTCATTTCAAATATCATCGAATTATTTCAAAAAAAAAAAAAAAAAAACCTTAGCATACTTTTAAATTACATATAGCTTAGTAAAATAACTTAAAATTGGTTTTTTCAATTAACTTTTCTATCGTTAAATTTTCAGCTACTAAATTTATTCAAATGATTCGCAATAATTCACAATAAAATATATTTCAAATGTAAAATTAAATTCTAATTTCAAAGACTATTATAATAATTGCTACTGCTACTGTAAATCTAAGGTGTCAGGTAACCGATTCCATCGATTTTCCATTGTTTGATATTTGGGAAGAAGTAAACTGTGATAAATCAACAATGATTTTGGAGTCATACGGTAGAACGGTTCTACTCATATCGAAAAGTTCAACTGTTGGATGTATTTCTAGGAATAAATCAGAACCACCTTTAGTTGCTGTAAATGATTGGAACGGTGATTTATTTGGTTACTTTGTGCCTGGTAAGTTTGTCAGTTTAAAAAAATTAATTTTAATTAAGAAGTAAACAATTAATTATCTTTATATTTATTATTCTTCTTCTTGCTTAATCACAAACATTCATACAATTTTGCTTCATTTCTTTTTTTTTTTTTTTTTTTTTTTTGCTTTTTTGCTTTTTTAAAATATTTTGTAGTGAATAAGTAATGTAAGAAGTAATGCATTAATTAGTCATACTTTTAATTATTCATATGATATAATTAATCATAAATATACATAAGTTCAGAGAGATCTATCTCTGTATCATATCTTTATACTTCACAAATTATTTCAGGTGATCCATTTCTGATAGAAGATAGTGATAAGCAAACGGTTGCAAAAATTTTAGCTGCTGAAAGTGCATACGGAAGGTTATTTTATAATTTTACATTAATTTTAAGAATATAGTTTAATGTTATTTTTCAAAATAAAATTAATCCAATGGTTTATTTACTAACTGATCAAAAGGAATCCTTCTTTCTCTTCAAATTTTAAATTTAACTAATTAAAATACGAAAAGGGAAATTGCGCTCATTTATTGATTAAGCATTCATTAATATAATCAACTTATATATTATAGACTAGACTAATTAGTTAGAAAGTAGTAGCATAGACATTCATAATTTATGGACTGATCTATGACAATTTTGAAGTTACTAAGGAAACGGTTTGTAGCTTAAATAAATATTAAACGATTGATAGATGAAAAATTAGCTTGATTAATGAAAAATGAAAGAAAAATTAAGTGAATTTAATTAAACACAAATTAATTTACGTATTGTTATAATAATAATAATAATTATAATTATATTCAAAAGATTTATATACATATATCAAATTTCTATAATTTTATTTTTTATAGATTATAAAATTTCAGAATACATTATCAGGATTTCTTCTTTGAAATTAAAAACAAAATGGAAAATAATTGATTCAAAATAAAATAAATTTTTTTTTTCTTGAAAATGATCATAGTACTTGCAAAATTTGACGGTTTCAGGGTTACCGTATGGATTTGTGTATTAGAAGGATCCGGTCAAGAAATGGCTCGAATGGAGGAGTACAGTACAATTTATTTTAGCAAGAATGTTGGTGGTTTTCAATTAAAATTACTAGCTTTGGCTGCATTTGCCCGTTTAACCGTTTCGGAATTTGTTCAGCATCAATCCTGTTGTGGCGCTTTCTTTTCAATGTTATTCCGCTGCTAATTGTAATTTATGCGCTCTAATAAATAAATAATTTTTCCTAGTAAAAAAAATTTTACACATTACCGGTAATAGACTATATCCGGTACAAGTAAAAAATACGTGAAAATTTACGTGAATACAAATGGAAATGAACATAAGTAAGTGATACTTCTGAACGAGTCAATTTGTCATTTAAAATATTAAATGTTCAAGTAAAACTTCAAGTTGATATGAATATTATTAAATTTATTAAAATATTAAAATTATTTTTTTATAAAAAAGAAAATTTTTTTTTTTCATGCATGAATTATGCGTTCAAATTAACTTGCAAAAATTTTCCAAAACATTTAGAAATGATAGTATCAATAAGTAATTTTAGTATTGAGATTGAAAGATACTGTACATCAATTTAAAATTTTTTAATTTTTAGATTGTACAATTAATTTAGGCTTAAAAAATAATGAATCTTTCATTTTGATAATATTACTGTTTAACTATTGTCAAATCACTCAAAAATATTATTTATTCAGAATGTTTATTTTAATTCCATTAGAAATTAAATGTCTAAAAATAAAAATAACAGTTTAAAATGAATTAAAAATAAAAATAACAATTTAAAAATGAAATATTTTACTTTATTTGCTCTTAAAAAATATCCATTGGATCATTAATTTATCTGAACAATTTTTTAGATATTCAAAAAACTACTGGGACGGTTATTAGGAAGAAAAGAAAAAGATTAGTAAAACTATTAGGAAATTTTACCTGAAATAAAATGATAATTTATTAAATTCAAAATGTTAAATTATTTGAAATTCCTTTACAAAGAATTGGATTGAATTAAATCATTTGATCATACTATAGAAATAATAATTTGAATATTTTAATTAAAATAGTTTTGAGGAAAAAATAAATCAATTAATATCTACAATATTAAATCAGATAAAAAAAATTCAATAAATTTTTTTTAACTGAAATCAATTTAATGTCAGTAAAAATATGTAAAATTAAAGTTATTTAATAAGATATGTACGAGAATATATGTCTAGAAATGTAGAAAATATACTCAAATATCATTTTTGAAATATTTAGTATCATTTTATCTTATAAAAAATTTTTGTGTAATTTTTGTCTAATAATAATAATAATAATAATAATTTAGTATCATTTTATCTTATAAAAAATTTTTGTGTAATTTTTGTCTAATAATAATAATAAAATGGCGGTGTATTGCGCTAACTTAAGCGCAAATGGTAATGCATAATACAAGTATTGAAAATTTTTTTCATCATATATCATTTAAAATCATTTAAATAATAAAAAATTTAAAAATCATTTAAAAACGAAATTTTATTTAAATTTAAAATCATTTAAACAATAAATTCTTAATTTAATTTTAATCTTTTCAAACTTTTAAAAATTAAATAATTATTGCAAATTTGATTCAAAAATTAATTCACTATTAGAATACATTTGCTTTTTTTTTTTTTTTTTTCAAAAAAAATTTTATCTAAATGATCATAAATTGCAGTGCAGTAGTAGCGCATTACACACATTGTCAGACATTGCTACAATTTATTGTTTCGTCTATTCTCGAAATTTTAAATTTAAAAGATAATTATACTAAAAAAAAATAATTGCCACTAATTTCATAGGCTTTTATCATTTGTAATAATAAAGTTAATAATTTAATTTTCAAATTGCATATAGTTAGCACAATGTTTAACAAACATTTTTTTTTTTTTTTTTTATCAAATAAAAGAATTTTCTTTCAATAAAATTCCATTTTTTTAGAATTAATTCCTATTTGATAATTTAAATGCACTTATTTGCTTCTAATTTTAGTTATGTAAAAATATCAAAGTTAATAAATTAATTTGAGGAATTTTTTTTTTTTTTTGCAATAAATAAGATTTTTATTATTTGTTATTATTTTATTATTATTATTATTATTTGTTATTATTTGTTATTTTAAGTTGTTTTTTTTTTCCTCCCCTCTAATTTAATATTATATTATAGAATAAATAATGAAAATTTCAATGATCATTTTTGATCATTGAAATTTTCATTTGAAATAATTTCCCTTTCTTAAATATATTATTGTTTGCATAAAAAAAAAGAAAAAAAAAAAGGATTGAATAATTTTTATTTAATTGAATAGAAAGGCCCCAAAAATAAAATCATAATTTCACTAAAAAACATTGATTATTTTCAATTTTTCTTCTTTCGTCTTTTCTTCCTTTTTTTTTTTTCATTTTCATTTTCATTTTCATTTAATCATTTCATCATCAATGAAAAAAAAAAAGAAGAAATAAAATTTGAAAAACGAGTTTTATTAAAGTAACTTGAATGCTGTTGCTATCATCCTTACCATTGTCACAAGAAATTAACTCGAAAACGTTGTGCTGAAATATTCTATCTAATAAAATCATTGAAATATTCAAATTCAAACTAGTCTTTACTTAAAATTTTTCAAAATATTTTTTTTTTAGTTACAGCAAAAAAAGGACAACAAAAAAAAAAAAAAAAAAAAAATGAAAACAAAAATTTGTTGCTTATAATTAGTGTTAAGTATGAATTAATGAATTTATTTATGTTTAATTTTTAAATTTAACATTATCATTCAAGCAAAATTATATCTTTCTAAGATACTTTTTCTTTTCTTTTCTTTTTTTTTTTTTTTTGATTTTATGATTTAATCTTTATTTTCTTGATTATTATAAATGTGTAATATATTATTGAAATGAAACTAAAAGTTTACATCCATTTTAGCTAATTCGAATTAAATTATTTTATTTTCAACTCATCAATATCTAAAAAAAAAAAATTCGAATTAAATTATTTTATTTTCAACTCATTAATATCTAAAAAAAAAAAATTCTTTTTTTTTTAGTATAATTTGCAATTATCGAGAATTTTTTCTCTTTTCACAAAATAAACGTATAAGCAAGTATTAACAAAAAAATGTTAAAAGTGAAATGCTTACACAGCTGTTCAAATTTTGCAATCTATTAATGTAAGCTTTTATTGAGAGATTTTAGCTGTTAAAATATTCTCTGTAAAAGTTTGCAACTTTTTTCTTCTTTTGTTAATTTTAACAAACTACTAGCAATCATTATTAATTACCAGTAATTAACTTTAACTTAGTTTAATGTAATTTTCTTTTTTTTTTTTTTTTTTGTTAATTAATTAAATGTTAAATTAATTAATTAATTAATTAAGATATGTAATATAAAGAAAAGATATAAAATATATTATAGAAGTGATATTTAATCTTATATTTGCATTTGTTGCATCAAAAAAAAGAAAAAAAAGAGTGACCACAACCATAGGCTATTATTGGTCAATGGTCATTTCATACACACACATACATACATACACACATACAAAGGGTAGGGTAAAATTCAATTGCTCATTTCCTTGGGTAAATTTATTTGAGACATTCCTTCATTGCATACCTTCTTTCTTGCAATTTCTCACCTCGCAAAAGTCTCATTTTTCCTGCAAAACCACAGGAAGCACTTACATTTGACAATGGCGCCTTTCCCTCCTATAATGAAATACTCTGAATTACTATGCCCACTTATAATCCTACACTCCTCACATACACATACATGCATACACATACATACATACACACACATACATACATGCATACACATACACATACATACACACACATACATACATGCATACACATACACATACACATGTAATAGCAATTTCGATTTATGCAATGCATATCGATAAAGCATCATCATCCCATGTGACGTCCAGTTGTGGGCACAATTTTTCGTCCCTTAGATAAGAGAAATGGCTAGTTTGAAAAATCGATTTAACTATAATGGAGAGAGAGAGAGAGAGAGAGGAGGAGAGGGAGAGGGAGAGAGGAGAAGAAAGAGATTAGTATGATAAAATGGATGGATAAAATAAAGATGATATGTTGATAAGGAGAGCGAGAAAGAATATGAAGATTGCTTTCGAAATGATAGAAGAATAGATGATGACTAATACAATGTTAAAGTGATAAGACAGATCGATCTTTATTTTAATTGTTTGATAAAGTGATAAGAAAGATCGATCCTTATTTTAATTGTTTGATAAAGTGATAAGACGGATATTTATTTTAATTGTTTGATAAAGTGACAAGGTGAATTGGAGAAAGTTTGTGCTTTTGATAGATGATAAGGCAGATTGGATAAGTTTCTCTTTTGTTCCTAATTGTTTTAGTAGTATTTTTTTTTTTTTTTTTTTTTGAATATTTCATTTAGAGTATTGACTTCCTATCCGTTATTTATGATAAAAATTATCACATAAAGATCATTTTATCATAGCTAAAGACACTTCTACTAACCAACAAATTTGTGCACATACTTAGCTTTCTCAAATAAATGATAACAAAACGTCCAGCTAAATTCATTTAGAATAGACCTTTCATTTTAAAACAGCTGCTTGAAATCAAAATCTTTAAATACTGTAATCATTTATAAATACTGATGGTCGATTTATCTAATCTTCCAATTCTTGAGATATCAATTCTTCTCGAGAATTAGTAATAGCAATATTTTTTTTTTATCTTTTAGATTTAAATTCTTCATTTATATGGATAGTTTCATTTCATAATCTTTTGATTCATTAAGTTGAAAATAATAGATTAATTTTTTTGCCAACTTAAAAATGGAATACTTTATATCATTTGTAAATTATGATTTGTTATAGTAAGATTGAATTTAAATTGTAAAATTATTTTAAAAATAAATTATCAGTGAGATTTGTCACTGATGCAAAAAAAAAAAAAAAAAAAAAAAAAAACTGTGAAATATTATTTGAAATGATATTAATAATTGATGAAAGGTATTGCTAAACATCTTTACATAAGGTATATTTACATATATTTCTGTTTTATTTATTTAATTTAGTTAAAGTGAAAATTGGTTACCACACAAAAAGATTTTGTTTTGATTAGAAAAGAATTCAAAGATTTTTTTTTTCCCCCCCCTTCCCCCCTACCCCCCCCCCCTCTTGTAATTAATAATCAAATATTTGAACTATTTGTTGAAAAGGAAGAAAGCATAACTAAGCAGCATATTGTTGTTCAATTTGCTATTCTTTCCTTTCTCTTTTCTTTTCTTTTTTTTTTCTTTGGTGAGAAATTTAGCAGAAAAGTTTACTTTCAATTTCTTTTGCTTCAGAAAAAAAAAAAAAAAAAAGAAAAAAGAAAGAAAAAAATTTGTCATTCTAATAGAATTTTTTTCCTTTCAATAAAAAAAAATTCTTTTTTTTTTTTTTTTCTCTTTCTATGTCATTTTAATAGTAATAATTTTATTTTAAAATACACATTTTTATCATTTTTTTTTCTTTTGCTATTGATATTTAAAGTATGATAATAACAGAAATGATAATATAATAAGCAATGATAAAAAATGATAACGATGTTGACAATGATAATTCATCGTCATCCATAGATGACAATTTTTACACTAATTAACACGAGAAAATGTTGTTGACATAGGAAACTATGTGTTAGTGCTAAAAAATTTTTCTTCTCATTTAATTACTTGTTATCATTTTCTAATTAATCATTATTTTATTTCATTATAAAATTTTCATAGCAAATGTATTAGTTAAGGAAGTAAAGAATTTTTCGTATGTAATTTCAACCTTTTAACATTCGAATTTTTTCCTTTCATTGTATTTTGGAATTTTTTTTTTTTTTTCTTTTGATGTTAAAAGAGAAAAAAAAAAAAAAAACCTTTGAAAGTGCTCAAATATGTGCAAATTTTTATCAATGATTATTATTTGTATGTTTTTGAAATACAAACGAAATGCAACAAATAATGTATTTTGGAATTTATTCTTTTTTCCTTTTTTCTCGAGAAAGCTAACAATTTTCTCTTTCTCTCGAGAAAGCTAACAATTTTCTCTTTCTTTTTTTTTGTTGTATAATCAACGTATAAATGTAAGTAATTAATGATTAGCTTATTAGTATAACTTACTTTGTTGAGTTTTAATAAAAATTAATGATTAGCTTATTAGTATAACTTACTTTGTTGAGTTTTAATAAAATCAAATTTATCAGTTGATTTAATTAAATGAACTGATAAATTTTGATACTTTTATTAACGATTACAAATGCGGAAATGAAGCAAAGCAAGCAATTTTTGTTATCAGTTCAAATAAAGAAAAGAAAACTTTCATTTTTCGCTTCTCTCGAATAGTGCTATCATTACAGGGACAATTAAAATATAGCGGCGGAAAAGGACAGATGAATGATTAGAGTGGCGGAATAGTAATTATAATTTATATGATAATCAAATATCGAACAAAGTCTGATTGTTATATTTTTTTTTTTTTTTTTTTTTAACAGAAATGATAATCTGAACGATTTTGAGAATGGTTCATTATTTTCATTTCTAAATTTTAGTGTAATTTTAAAATTCTTATTGGATTATTTTTGTCATCAATTTTTGTCAGTTCATTTCAATTTGTCAATTTTGATGTTTGCAAAAAAAAAAAAAAAAAAAAAAAAAAAAAACGATTGTATTGCTAACATACAAAGATTATTGTGTTAGATTTCTTTTTTATATTTAATAAAGAAATAATTATTATCAAATTTTTAAATTATTTAGCTTAGCAAAATTTTTGTAATTTTTGATCAAATATTATAATCAATATGATCATTCAATGACAGTAATCTTTTTTTGTATACATTAATGATCTAAAAGCATATTAAAATTTCGAAATTAAAAACTTATAATTATTTATCAAGAAAAAGAACAATCTAATAGTTATTTTCATTGATAGAGTTTAATTTTTCAATTGAAATTTCAGATACTTATTTTTTTACTAAAATAATAAAGTGATTAGCTGTTATCAGTGAAATTGAAAATCAATGTTAAACTGATAAAATTGAATGATTCATCAATGGAGTTTGTCTTGAGAGATACACGAATAAATTTCACTCTGTCTTTTTTTATTTTTTACATCAATTTCTAATTTCAAACTATATTATTACACAAATAGTTGCTTTCTAGAAAAAATCAAAAATTCAAAGATTTTAATTCAAAGATTTCTATGATTTGTCCCATTCTTGAAAAAAATTGAAAGACTAATAGATTATCGGAGTGAAAATTTTGAATATAAATATTTTTAAAAATGATGAATGGTAATATTTTTCAATTTCTATAAGAGATTTCCATTAATTAGACAGACAATATTATCTATCATTTGTCCCATTCAGACTAATCTATGTGACGCATAAATAAATTTTCTTTTGTTCAAAATACTTTCATTGATTCACTTTTTTTGATTGCTTGCTTTTTTTTTTTTTTTTTTTTTTTTTTGAATTTAAATAAATGCATTAACTTCTACTTTTAACTTTTAGATTTCATTTTTGAACTGTACACTTACCTATTCCTATAGGTATTGCAATCTTTTAAGTAATAATATAAATGGATTAATGATAATTAAAAAGAATTTAAAGAAGTGAAAAAAAAAAAATAAAAATTATTCTATCGTTTCCGACTAGCATAGAACAACTAAAGTTAAAGATAGCATCAGTCATTTGAAAGTATTTAAAATTCGCTTTAAGTTAGGAACAAACTTTCAACGAAAAATTTAAAAGCTCATTTTTTTTTTTTTTTTTGCAATACACTGATAGTTTTTATGTTACAATTTTAATGTATATTCATACTTTCTCTTTTTACTTTCTATTCAATTGTAGTTTCAATTTTCTGTTTAAATTTGATTTATTTCATTCACATAATCACTATAATGACCAATAAAATCGAGATTTTGTAAATTCTTCCTACCGATAAGACATTAAAAACACAATCTTTTTCACTTTTCTCCTCATTACTTACCCGAGATATTTCAATTTATTAGGAACAATTAACCAATTCCTATATTATAGAATAAAACACTAACTCAGTTGGCTTTATTGAAATATTTTGAAATTTTCAAAGCTATAACACCTGAAATATTCTCAGTTATCATTGCATTCTCGAGAAAAATGAACCAGAAGTAAAATTTTCGGGAGTAAGAGAAGCTAAGTATTACATCATCAGAATCCATGAGTTGTCAAATCTTCAGAAATCTAACGTATGGGATGGACGGACGTGGAATGCGTTATACTAATAGCTAAAGCTATTTGGATCAGAATTCTTTGTAGTTTGAAATTATCACTATTTCAATGATCTTTAAAGAATATATGCTTAAGCAGAAGAAAGTAATATATTCATTAAATTTTAGACTTCATCAAATGTTACTGCTTTTTAAAATCATTACTATAATAGAATAGAATTTAGTCTGAAATAAACAAATCATATGTGTTTACATACAAGAAATACTAATGTAATTAGTGTATCTCTTATAAAAGCTTTGTCGTCGTAGTCTTCAACTGATATTATTTTAAAAGACAGAGATAATTGTGATAAAAGATATATGCAAAAAAGATGGATAGAATTTAAATGAAAACTAAGAAATTTCATTCTATTAGGTTTATTTTATTTATTTTTCGCTGCTTATTTCGCTGCTTAAAGATGAACGCTTATTTTATTTATTTTTCGCTCTTTGTTTACATTTAGAAATAAACGAATCTTCTTCCAGTACTAATCAGCTTTGCAAATTAACTACTATTCATCGAATTTAATCCATAATTTAAATTTATGCTATGAATGAAATTTGAATTTTTGAATAGTTTGTAGCATTGTCTTCGTAAAAATTTTCATCATTATATTATCAATGATAGTAGTAGCATTTGGCTGATTGAAAATTTCATTTTATTGAAGGTATTTCATGTTGAGTGATTATAGACCTATGTTACCTTACTAATTAGTGTAATGAATGTATTCCTTGGCAGATGTACAAAGGGACGACCATTTGGCAAATTTTAACAAATGACCCATCCATCCATCCATCCATCTATCCATCCTCTCTACCCTTAGGATTATTGCATTTGAAACTTTTAAATGAAGCTAAAAGTTATAGCTAACCCATTTCTCCCCCTAGATCTATCTTCTAATCCAGTTTCCGTTCTATCACTTTGTGTTATGTATGGCCCAGCACTTCTAACGATCACTACGACTGCGGGTAAGGCCAGAAAGAGGCAGGCCACGGAGACTAACCTTCCCCACGAGCCTTACTTATCACATCCATCCCTCAACAGATCGATCCTCCAAGCCCATCCACTGCGCCACATGTCGCTCCCCGCCTCCTTTCCACAACCGCCCCACAACCATACAATCGTCTCCCTTCCATCCTTTGGGATTGGCACCGATCTTCTCCCCATCTTCACACTCTGTTCTGCTAGTGCTTCTGCTAACATTGCATATATCTGTCATTGTACCCAACCCTACCCTAACCCTACCCAACATCTTATCCAATCCACCACTCCACTCTATCCTCCCCTAATCTTTCCACCATACTTTCCCATTATTTTATTCCTTTTATCCTACTACCTACTTCAACCACTTCCCCCCCAGGTCATCTGTTACTATACCATTTCCATCCTACCAAAAACCTCTCTCTTCCATTTGCCATAAAACTATAATTACAATTCCTAAACATTGAATATTTCTCTTTCAAAGACCGACCATCTTTACATCACGTATGCCACCACGTCTTCCTAATCTTTTGTATTCTCTTTAGAGTAATTTCTGGGCAAGAATTTCCCCGGTATTTCCATACCCATTTAGTGGTGTACACCACCTTTGTCACTTTTTTGTTTCTCAGTGCTTTAGTTGAGCGGTAAATTACCCACTTTGCCTGTCAACGACCCTCCCGCCTACATTTTACCCTTCGAACTGTTCATTTTGTCTTTTTGTTGCTGAAAGAAACAATTTATTAACATAGAATGTCATCTTCAAAGCTTGTAGTAAATTAATCTTAAGTGTGACCAAAAAGGTACGAAATAAATATGAATTATCGTTGGAATCATTTTCAATTTCCTCCAAATATTTTTATAATAATTGCTGTTACCTTCTTAGATATGTATGTTTTCTTTTTTTTAAAAATCCAACAATTATTTTAATATTAAAATAATTTCCAACAATTATTTTAATGATTGTTGATTTACTTAGAAACATTATATAACTGACCGATTGCTTCACTGGTCATTTTCATTTCTTGAAATAATTATTTGGAAGATTAGGAATATTTTTGAGATTAATTTGCATAATTTTAATTATTATTTCACATGCTATTAAAAATATGTTTAGTGGGAGAGAATCTGAGTGAAGAAAATGATGAAAAAGATTGGGAAAGAGTAAAATTTAGTAGAGAAATTTTTTTTTTTTTTTTTGATTGCCGTGCAAATATTATGGATAGATCGAAGAGTGAAAAAACCTGTTTGATGTGTTGAGTCCTGTTTGGGTAAGTTCCTACCATTTTACTTACCTGAAGTTTTCATCAATGTTTTTATCATAATATACCTGTCCCATCCTAATAATATCTCTTTCCTTCCTTTCTCTTTTTCTCCTTTTCTATTCCTCTTTCTTTCATCTTTTCCTCTATTTTTTTCTTTGTTATATATTTTCAATGAGTTAATTGTATTTTACTCATGTAATTGTCTCTTTTCTCGTGCTTTTCACATGTTTAAAAGATAGTTTTAAAAAAAAAAAAATGAGGAAAGGAGAGAAAAGAGAGAGAGAGACAGAAAAAGAGAGAGAGAAGAAGAATACAATCAAGAATACTGTGTCGTAGTGAAAGTGACAAATAGTAATTCTCGTTGCTAACCAAATTTGTCAAATGCTTTGTCATCTATATTGCTACACTGATAGCATACTAGAAAGAGATAAGATAATGTTTACATTAGTGTTTTCTTTTTTGATTTTTCTTCTTAAATAATTAATTGGATGATTTTAGATTAAATTTTCAATGTTTATATGCATTTATTTCTATTTGAAGCGAATACTTTCTTTTTTTTTAATTTTGATAAAATAAATTAAAATAAATTTAATCTAATTTGTATGGCTTTGTTAATCAGAAAAAAACTTTCTAGCTGCCACTTTAGTGTGAATAAATTTTACATTTATTGAAATAATGCAACGATTTTTTTTTTTCCATTTAATCTGCATAATATCTAAATAATGCTTTTGTGATTGCCCACTTTCTAATTTTCAAATTTTAATATGCAAAGTTATATATGAATAATACTCTCATCATACATCATACAACACTACTAATCTAAAAGAATTCAAATTACTCAAATTAAATGATGATCAAAAAATAAATTTTATTTTTAAATGAAATTATTGTCTTCTCTTTTTAACTGAAATAAAATGCTTAAATTTCGTCCTTTTTTTTTTTTTTTTTCTTTTCTTTTTTCCTAGCACATCAATCTAATTTATGTTATAAATTTTTTTAACATAAAAAAAAAAAAAAAAAAAAAGAAAAATTTGTAATAACAAATTTCTCATTTTATTCTATCTTCCCCGTTCTTTCCTCCCTTTTTTTCCTTATGTATTAGTGAAAATTATGATGTAATGTCAAATTAGTGATAAATAAAACTGCTATATTATTATCATTGTTATTGTTGTTGTTGTTGTTTTCTTTATCATCATGTTCATCACCACTGTTGTTGTTTTGTTTATCATCATGTTCATCACCACTGATATTTTGCTAATCATAGTGATTTCTAATGATGCGCTGTTGTTCTATGTTCCGCCTATTGGTTGTTTAATTGAAAAAAAAAGAAAAAAAAAGGAGGAATTTTCCCTTTCTTTTTCCATACCTACTTTTGAAAACTTACCACACACATCATTCAAGTATGTATGTATATATATAACACACATACACACACACACACACACATACACACCATATGGTGACATTTTCATTTCATTTAATTCTTTCAACATTTTCATCCCTCAATTACCATTTTCTATCTCATTTTTTTTGCTGTGATGCATGCACATGCAAAATAAATTTTAAAATATTATACTATCTGTGATGCATGCACATGCAAAATAAATTTTAAAATATTATACTATCTGTGATGCATGCACATGCAAAATAAATTTTAAAATATTATACTATCTGTGATGCATGCACATGCAAAATAAATTTTAAAATATTATACTATCTGTGATGCATGCACATGCAAAATAAATTTTAAAATATTATACTATCTGTGATGCATGCACATGCAAAATAAATTTTAAAATATTATACTATCAGTATGATTTCAAGAAAAGAAAAGAAGGAAGAAAGGATGCAATTATTTACAAACATTTGTATTTTCTTAAATAAATATAAGAAAAAATGATGAATGAATGAATGAGAAATGAGCGCATTTTGTTTATATAAAAAAAAAAAAAAAAAAGTTTGAAAGAATTAAAATAGAAATTGTAAATTTTTATGGCTTTAATACAAAATTCTTTGCAATATTTGCAGAAGAATTATTGCTTAATTTTATTTTTGCCAAAAAAAAAAAAAAAGAATTAAGTTTTAGAATTTGCTACTTTTATTCGTTTTCTTCTTATCGTACTTCTTTTCCTTCCTTTTTTTTTTTTTTTTACTGTTTCAAAATTGATTAGAGAATGTGAGCATTACTGGTTTGATTGTTTGATTGGTTAGATGACGACAAAAAAAAGAAAAATTGATTCTATCATTTTAGTTGTGAGATTTCATGTGAAAGATAAATGAATGGAAGCAGTTTAGAAGTGTCAAAATATAGAGTTTTTGCATGAGAAATGTTTGAGGTAAGCGCAAAAAGCCCATAACAATTTAATCTTTCAAATAAATTTTCTAACAAATGATTGAAATAATTGGTATCGTTCCAGTTTAATTGTAAAAATTTTTTCTTATTTTTCATTTCATTAAAAATAATGATAATTGATGATAAGAAATGATGAAAAGCGAAAGTTTATAAAATATATAGCTTAAAGTAATTTAGCATGAAAAATTTTTCCGTGAAATTTCTCAAATTTTTAGATTATTTAGAAAAACTAGAAATAGCACTTAGTGACTCTTTCATTTGTTGTTGTCATTCATACCTCCAATGCAATTATTGTTTCGGATGAAAACGACAAAATTGACACTAACCAGGTGTTTTTTAATACTTCTATTCCTACTTTTTGTTTGCATATGTGGGTCTGTCTGTTTACACAATCACATACACACACACACACACACACATATAAATGATGTGTGTGTGTGTGTGTGTGTAATGCATACTGTCATTTCCAAAAACAGGAAGGCAGTCGAGAATTGTTTTAAGAAGAAGGCCAACCAAGTATAAGAAAAAAGTGAACGGATTTACTGACAGTTATTATTATTAATATAATAATAAAATAACAAATAATATTAATAATAACAATTAACAATAATGATAATATTAATAATTGGTATTAACATTAATAGTTAATAATACTAATAATATTAATAATAAAAATAACAATAATAATAATGAGTAATGTTAATGACATTAATAATATTAGTAATAATAAAGTAGTAATGATATGATAATGACAGTTTGTAGTTGATAGTAGTAGTAATATTAATAATAATTATTATTATTATTAATAACATTGACAATATTAATAATTATTATACTGACAATGATAATAATTAACAATAGTAATAACGATAATAATATTTTTAATATCAATAATAAATAATATTAATAATGAGTAATATTGATAATATTGATTAATGTTAATTAATAATAGATAATAATTAAGTAATAATAATAATAATAAGAATAATAATGAAGAGTTGGAATTGCTTCGTACCTTACGTGTAAGGTACTTCCCATTTACTCTTCAAATAATAGATGTTTTCTTTTTTCTTTTTCTTTAATCAAATACTTCATTTGATTATTTTTACATGTCTTACCATTGTTTATTTTCTGTCAGTTAATTACTTAATTAGCTAATTGTTATTTTATTAGAATTTTTAATTGCTTTTATCTAATTTAAATGAATATTTATGAGAATAAATGAAATTGAAATATGCTATAGCTTCTTAATTGTGAGTTTTTTTTTTTTTTTTTTTATAATTTTGAAAGAACAATCAAAATTTTTTCTTCTTCAGATTTAGTTTCTTTATTTTATAGTTTTCATTAATGATATTACACTAATATATATCAGACTAGAGTGATAATAAAATGTATTTGTTGAATAGCACATGAATGGGTGACTGTCACAGTTATTATGTGAGATGGTTACTGATTATCATTACTGTTATTATCATTATCAATGATAATAATTGTTTATGTTATTTATTTAGGTAATAATTTGTCATTTATCTTAGTTTCTAGTAAATATTTAAGTTAAACAACTTGACTAGAATGTAAACTTTAAAAGCACTTTTCTCTTCTCTGTTTCAAATGACTTACTTGTTTTTTGCATCTCTGCATACATCATTATCATCATCGTTATTGTTATCATTAGGGGAATAAATTCACTCTCTCTTCTCTTCTTTCTTCTTTGTCATTTCTGTGTTTAATTTCTTGCAGGTATTTTCTTCTTGGCGAACAAATTTATTAATGTCATCGTCATTGATGACAGCAATGAGATGATGATGATAGTGACAGTGATGATAAGAGTGATGGTGATGATGATAATGATGACGATGACGATGATAATGATCACACTGTTTGTGGATCCTTGTTAATGCATACCCTCGCTCTCTTTCTCTCCCTTTCTCTTTCCCTCTTCTCTTTTATTAATCTTCATCTTTTACTTCTCCTTTCTGTCCCCTCCTCTTTTATTTCACTCACATTTTTCTCTTCTTGTCTATTAAAGTCGTTTTCCTATAGTTTCTCATTCTTTGATAATACTTTCTCCTCCAGTAACCCTCACTCCTCCCACTCTTCTCCTCTTTTTCTCGACCTCTTCCTTTCCCAATCAGAAAACTCATTTTTTGGAAACTTTTTTCTCGGCAGTTGCTGTTCGTCCCCGCTACCCCTATCTCCTACCCTACCCGACCACTTTACCCCGCCACTTACCATATCCTTTCCCCCGTCCTGCTTACCTCATTTCTCCCCCCGAAATTTGTGTGGCTTTTTGAGTTTTTTCCCTGGTTCATGTTATCAGAAATGATTTGTTAGAGGAGTTGGTTATCAGTTGTACCTGTGCCTTCTTTCATTTTTTCATAACATTATCACTTATCACTTCTAGTTTATATATAAATGGAGTATCATCACCATGATGCAGTCTATTTACAAAGCAAATAAGAAAATTTTAAGGTCTTTTTATTACCAAGTAAGTGGTATATTTTGTGAATCATTTAATCATTTATCAGTAGAATCATATTTACTGGGCATTTTTATTTTAACAATATCATTTGCATGCTATGATAGCATTATATGTTTTGCTGATCATTAAAAAACTCTGATTTCTTAAAAATGTCTTGCATTTGTGATCGTTTTAGTTATTTGCATTTTGGAAGGAAGAAGGTTCTAATTGTTGTTATCAGTGATTACAGGGCAATGGACCTGGGAGAGGGAATGTGTATGGTATGTGGTGATCGTTCGGCTGGTAAACATTATGGCGTGATGGCATGTTACGGTTGCAAGGGTTTCTTTCGACGAACCATCCGTTCCGGACAATCATACACTTGTCGTTTTATGCAGAAATGCTCTATTGATAAAGGTTGGAGTTGCTCATTTATAAAAGTAATTGATTAGCAACAGTCTTATTTAAGTGTAGTATATAATCATTGCAGGTCTCTTATTAGTGTCAATTAATATTTTTTGAATTATAATATGAAAGACTAAAAGAACACAATGTATTTTTCGTCATTATTTTCATTTTTATAGATCAACGTAATGCCTGTCGATTTTGCCGTTTTCAACGATGTCTAGAAGTGGGCATGGAACCTGATGGTAATATTTTTTGCTGGTTCATTTGTAATTGTCCAAATAAATATTTTTATAATCTCTGCGAAAATTACAAAATAGTAGGAATTAGACGAATCATTTTCTGTCACACCAGTGATAGTTCTTGCATGACATTGATTGTTTAGATAGTGCTGTACTAGACAAATCTTTATCTTTGTTATTGTATTGGATAAATATTTACTTTTACTTCTCATACTTCAGCAATTCGCCCTGACCGTGACATCATCGGAAAACAGAAAAACCCACGGCGAAAAAAGCTGAGACGTGAAGATAGTTTATTACCATCACCAGGGGCTGACTCACATTGGTAAGTTGTTTTTTCGAAAAGTTAATATCATGCTATAATGTATGTAACATTGAAACATATGGTGCTGGAATTATTTGTAGTGTTGATAGTAGTCTTTATACTGTTTATTTTTCAAATTGTTAATTCATGTGTATGTAAAATTATGGTCGCTATTACGTTTTTGTTCTTTTCTGTTGGACCTCTCCAGGAAGATAGCTTTATGTTCGTAATTAGAAATTTTGTTGAAAAATTAAACACAAGTTTGATTTATATTGCTATATCGATGGATTAAAAATGCTGCTGCTTATCTAGATAATAGCGCTAATCGATTTTAACTAGAGCGTTCAAAATGTCCTGTTGAAATTGCAAATGATATGTCAGAATTTGAATGAAGTTGTTTTACTGAGCGTCAGTTTCAGTTCACAACAAGAAGATGCCTTACTTACCTACCTCCTCGACACCGAACTGCAAGCAATGAGCTCGATTAAACGGCTTTCGGTGGCAACACCGATTGGAATTGCGAGGGTTAAAGTTGATCCAGATTTGGAACTGAGTGGAATTTTTCAGAATAGATATGTTTTGGATAGCGATCGCTTCGATGTAACTTTTATTGTTGCAGGATCCTTATTTTATCAGAATAGGGATAAAAATAAGGCACACAACTCTTACTTTTTATATATCGATATTATTTTGCAAATTATTGGTGATATTCTAGTAGATAGTGCTAATAGGTAACATATATTGAGAGAGTGATATAAAATATGAAGTTTCAAATACAAGGATATATTCCTAAATTATGACCATTTCTGCAGATATGTTATGAAGCAGGACGTACGGCGACAGTCGAACAATTATCTCAAGCAGTACGACGGTATATCGGTGCAGCGGTTGATTGGATTGACGCGCTGTTCTCACTCGTCAATCTAAGTGAATGCAATGAAAAAGTAATAATATCGATAATCTACTACTCATTTTTTTTAACAGAATTAGTAATTAGTTTTGAGAATTTTAACTGAATCCGAATGGGACATTAGTTCATCTGTTAAATTAACTTTTTCACTGTGCAAATCACATCATGCATTAAGGATTGTTTGAGCAACAATAATCAGTACATTGTGAGTTATATTCCAGATACTGAGAAAATTTAGTATTTTATTTATCACTAGTTAGTACACTGAATAGTTATCTCTGAAAAAAAATTTCTTAAAGTCAATCCAACTTCTAGATTTAGGTTAACTTGGAAAGAAATGTAGGAACAAAAAGAAATATACGCAGTTTAAGAATAAACGTCATTTATGAAGCAAAATATTTGTGAATTAGGATTAATAAGAACTATCCTATACAAAGATATCTACAGGTAAAAATTTAACGATGTACTGAAGAATACATAAATGTAAGCAGAAAAAATAAAGAATTGAATATAGAGAAAACCAAACTAGTTATATACATTTATTTAGGAAGTATTTAGGAACAAAACATATATAAATTACTTGTATGGAATACGGAAAAACATATAAAATTAAAATTAAATAAGTCGTCTATTCTGTTCTTTAGTCCAATTCATTTTGCAGGTTTTTGTGTTGAAAAGTTCATTTGCCGCATTTTGTGCATTCACACAAGCTGCACGAACGGCACAAACGACATCCGATCCAGATTTGTTGTGCTTGTGCAATAGAACTGTAATTCCGCGACAAACACCTAGACATCTGCTTGAGAATAAGTAATATTTTCTATCAAGATAGATAAGTCAGAATTTCATACGACATCTTTTCTATTCTTTTCTGTGTCTTTTTTTCATTTTTTATTTCTTTAGACTTTTTGAAATTTATAGAAGAAAGTATTTGCTACTCTTTTCCAGTTATTCAAAACCAGCTGTCTGATAAATTGCTATAGTTAGCTGCTGAAATACTTATTGTGAAATTCGTAGTCTAGCCAGGATACATGATTGTAAAATTTTTTTCTTTTTTGAATCATTACTGGAACAAATAATTATTTCAATAGAAAAGGAAAGGAGTAATTGCATTTCATAAACGTGGATATAACTGTTTGTAGCAGATGTCGTAATACATCAAAGATTGTCAGGAGCAGCTGTTTCACAGATAGAAGAATTTTTTTCCTTTTTTTTTTTTCTGGGAAATTACTTTTCGAAAAAAGAAACTTTGCTAATGTTTCGTAATTATATCTTCTTTAATATTAATTGTGAAAAAGAAGGAGTCTTTCAAATCTTTGATCCTGTCTTTCGTTGTTGACTGACTGCTCATAAATTACGTACTGTGGATTTTCTATTTGCGTATGGAAAAGAATTATGGTGTTTCCAAGGAATTATTTGGTGTGTTAAGAATCACGTAGTATTGGAGTGGTGGTTTTATATTTGCTCTGTTGGAAAAATCTCAGTTGTACAGTTATCAGGTATATGATAATCATGAAAGGGTAATTATTTGTTATAGCTTTTTGTCGAACAATATGGCTGCTCGAATACTGGATGAATTGACACAACCCATACGGAAGTTGCTACTTAATGAAGCTGAAATTGTCTCACTAACAGCGCTTGTTCTGTTGGATGCCGGTAATTTTTTTAAATTTAAAGTTTCAAAACATAGGTCATCTGAGGTTTTACTAATGTAATGCGCAATACGTCCTATTCTCTGTATTTCTTATTCAATATTTTATAGTCCTGATTAATCGTAATATTTTATTGCAGTATTAGAGCACTGTTATTATTTTCCATATGATCATATTAAAGATTCTTTTGATAACATAGTTTATTTCAGATGCACCAGGTTTAAGCTTGGAAACATCGCAAACCTTAGGAGCACTACGAGATCGCGTTCAGCATGTATTATTCCAAATGATTCGCGATCGTGTAAGTTCTGCGGAACAACCAATTTCTGCTGCTATATCGCGTTTTGGCAATATACTCTTGTTACTGCCACCATTAGCGGTAAGGAAGTTTTTCTTAATGAAAATTGAAAGAAAATATAATTTAATGATACATTTGTGAAGGTAAAAAGAATGATATTTGGTGTCGAATTATATGTTTTCTGGAAATTATTGAATAATGAACATGTGTTTACATTCAACAGAATTCATCTGGCATTTCGAACAAATTAATTAATAATTCTAGAAAATTTCTTCGATTTTGTGCGAGAATGTGCAGTTTGCTCGAATGTTTGGTTGTCAGACGATAGATCCGTTGTTGATCGAAATATTCGTGGATTCACCTGGCGAAATAATTCCATCACCAACAGCTAGAGAGCGTGCCGATGTTTCTACACAAACTTTTTTGCAAGCTTCGCCACAACAGCAGACGACATCAGCAGATGTAGATGACTTAAGTTCGGTTCATCTAACACCGCCTCCGACTGCTAATTTATCAACGTTATCACCTTTATCAATACCCAATCCTGGGTCGGTGATGCATGGTCGTGTGCAACAACAGCAAGTAATGTCTGGTAGCGGAACGTCATCATCACCTCATCAACCTCAGCCGCAACGTGTTACTCCAATCATTGTACCGCCTGGACCCAATACCTCATACAATTTTTATTTCCCATACTCAGGGCAATTCTCAGTTTCAGGCACCTATCCAAACCATGCCCAACAGCCACCGTCTGCTTCGGCTACTGGCACCTATGTTTCACAAGCAGGAATATTTGATTCTGGTCATTCTGCTAATTCTGCTGATGTCACTAATACTTTCCGTTATCTTTAAATTTGATGAGTAGCTATCCCAGATAGAAAAGTTTGCGGCAATCTGAATTTTAGTACCGATTGAATGACTTGTTTTGAACATTAAAAATTTGTTGTTTATCTGGGTATATTTAGCTACGCATTCGTTTATCCTTGAAAAGGAACGCTTAATGTAATGTCTTCTTTAATGAATTAGATTTAGACCATCATCAAGAGGAAAACTAAAGATTTTAACTTGATTATGTTATTCATTCACAGCTAATATGTCTATCTCTTTTTTCTCCTTTATCTTGATGCATTCGGTCTCTTATAATTTCATTTCTTAATCTGTGGTTATTAGAGGATCAGCTCTATGCTTAAAACGCCTAAAATATGAATGTGAAAATGGATAAAGCCATGTCTTGAATTGGAAATCAAAAGTTATTAAAGTGGTAGTGGATTCAGTGGGATGTTTTAAATTTTTCCAATTTTCTTTCCGCTTCCAAAATATCTTCCAAATTTCACTGTATTTGAATGAAGTATGACGCGATGAATTTCTTACATTTCATAAGTCTTAATTTACAAACTTGAGAAAGTAATAGCTTATTTTGTTATCAAAGCACAAAATACATATGCGACACATGTCTGTTCATGTGTGTCTCTGATGTTCCACATTTTTATTTTTCTTTTAATTTCTATTTTATTGGTTGAAGTCATTTTTATGATGTTGCTTTTCATCATTTTTCCACTCACGTACATGTCTCTTGGTATATACAGGTGTGCAACTAATCCGGTGAAGATTTTTTTTCGTTATTCATGTTTATTCAATTGTTATCATTATTAGTTGCTATCATTATCATTACTTCGTCATATTGATACTGGTATGAATGAAATTTTGACAGCTGGAATTAACCGGTCTGTCCTGTACAAGTAAAGTCAACGAGTGAGCAACGTTTATCGCTTTTTCCCTTCTTATCTTCTCCATTTCTGCTGTTCTACCTTACAGTTTTTCATGCTTATGTTTTCATATGGTATTTTGTGTAGTATTTAACTTTGTATTGTTTTAAAATTTTCCTTTCACTGATTCGCCCAATGCGTGGTCCATTTTTTGTTTTCAACAAAATATATACCTCAATTTTTTCATCGTTTCCATTCAGCTTGTGTTAGTGAAATTGATTTTTGTAATTGTTTTAGACGTCAAATACATTTGCCACTACTCAATTATTTGTATTTAATGTTTTTTTTTTTTCTCTTTTCGATTATTGTTGCCTTTATTTTAACTTCCTTTTTTGTATTGTTTGGAAGGGGCTCTGACAAAAATTTCCAAAACTTTCGCTTCTTAAAAGAGCAAAAAGTTCCGTTATATTCTTTTAATTTTCATATGTTTCGTATAGTGTGGAAGATAATGAAAGAACTGGTATTGACATTTTTTTTCATTTTCTGTGTGTTATATCAATCGACAAGAAGGAAAAAAAAAAGTGCGGATACATTTGCCGTTGTCATTCTAATGTGGTTGATAATGATAACGAATAACGAATGTGAAAGGGGTGAGCAATAGTGTCATCTAGTTGAAAGGGAAAAGGGACGAAAAACTCGAGTATTGTTAACTTTGAAAAAACGGCATGGCTAATTTTTAAAAATTTTTAAGAAGGATTCTAAACTTTTGTCTTAAACTCTACACTGGCACCTAAACTTGGTAATTTTCTTTCGATAATTATTGAGTTGAATAATTTAGTCACAAAATATGTGGATTTACTACAAACCTTTTATTGTTCGTATGTAGCATCTGAATGTTAATTCGCAGAATTTCCAACGTGGAATCCAAGTCTATCTGTTGCGATGCTTTCAATAAATAAGTTACATGAAAGATAACAAATTATTGAGAAGTATACTGATTACAAGCATTAGCGGTTACATAGCAAATATTACTAGAACAACTAGTACAATACGGATATTGAAAATCTCGCAATACAAACCTTCAGAGATAAAAGAAGTACAAATACATTCCATCGGTACGAGATTTCTCGACAGCCCTGTTAATTTCGCTCCCCTTAGCCAGAATTGGACAGTGTTATTCCCTCTATTATCTCTCAGGTTTTGTAGACTCTCTATACTTATGTTGAATAGCTTAAGTACTTTTTCATTAAATCTTTCTAAATTGAAAACCTTTTTATTAAATGAGGTAAATCTAGTCTTAATTAAACTCTCACCTGAGAATTCCTCCTCTCCCAAAGCTGCTTCTGCTACCTTCCTCGATACCTGTCTAAGCTTGACTGGAGCAGAACATTTTGGATGCTGCAACGATGTGAGGGTCGCTGTGAAAAATTATCATACAAGGAAGACATCATATTTTATCTCAGTATTTTAGCAGATTTCACAGGGATCGGTGATTTTAATCTTTCTCAAATTAGATACATTGAATCTTCCTTCAGAGACTTTTCGAGACTCACTAAGGTGCTAATTTTTTATCATTGAGAACTATTCAAGTGTTATCGTATGGTCCGACCACATTTGATTTAAATACTCATCAAAAAATGAGAATTTGATGTTGAATTAAGTTTACGTTAGTCAATTAAGACGATTGTTTACATGAACACTATTTGCAATAATTGTATGAATATCATTGTCAGTACTACTAAAATATAATGTATTTTCTTATCATTTGTATGAATAGTCCAGGAATTTATCACTTAGGGAATGTTTAATTGCAGGATTGTAAAGACTAAATTTTGTTTTTTTTAATTTCAAGAAAGTTTTACAGAATCTATAGAATTCAACGAAAAGATCTGATTTACCTTTCGTGAATGAGCGACATAGACCAAGTGATATGAATTATTTATTGTTATTCTTGGTACTGTCCTTATATTACATAGATGGAAAAATTTCAACAGAAATTGAAGATCCGTATCAAGTTTTGGGTGTTTCACGCAAAGCTACCATCAAAGAAATTAAGCATGCTTATAAAGCATTAGTTAAAGAATGGTAAATTTTTTTTCTCTTTGTTCAATCCAACGAGTGATTCCTTTTGAGAGATATAAATAATTCCTGAATTTTGGTATTAAGTAAAATATTTATATAAACATGCATTTATGAAGGATATTTCTAGGCACCCAGACAAGAGCGAAGAGCCGGATTCACACGAGAAGTTTATGGCTATCACACATGCTTATGAGGTTCAAATTTAATGTTCTTAATTGTTATTTATAGAAAACAACGTCTTGAAGGCTTTCAGAAACATGATCAGAAATGAAATATACATATTATAGTCATTTGTTCGTTCATCTTTACATTCTATGTATAACTTTTTAGATTCTCTCAGATCCAGTGAAAAGAGAACGCTATGATAAATTTGATTCATTCGATGACCCACCTTCTAGCCATGCATATACGCATTATTCATCTGATGATTTGGTAAATGATTCTTCATTTTTTAAAGATAATTCATTTTTTAAGATAAGTATTAGAACTCGAGAACCATTCTTCCAATTTATTTAGAAATAGATTTGACATTTTTGCTTAATATCTCAACAAACGTTTACTAAAATATTATGTAGCTGACCTTATAAGGAATTTCTCATCATTCGCAGTTGTGATTAGATGTTTAATTGATTGATAGTTTTGAACTTGTGATTTCATCATCTGAAATTTGAATTATGTGTCATTTTTATAATTTTATATGTTATGTAATTTGGAAAATACTTTGTATAAAATGAACTAGATTATTATTCATAAAGCAAAATTGGACACTAGAAATAACTGAAGGTATTTCTTCGTTCGTTTTCCTAATGTACAGTCATTCATTTGTTTTAGTTTGGCTTTGGTTTTGGTGGTTTTGATAACGGCAATTCTTTTTTCCAAAAACACCGTATCTCCATGCGGATATTTTCGCATGCATTGATGGGACGTAGTTATTTTCAACCAATTATAATATTTGCATATTCCGGTTATTGCCAACTTTGTTTCCACTTGGAACCTATTTGGCAAAGTGTAGTAAACGATCTTGAACCGCTTGGTAAGATTCTCCATTATTTCATTCCAAACAATCTTTTTAACTTTATTCTCCTTTGCTTACTTATAATTATCTGGTACTCATAGAGATATAATTATCTGGTACTCAATAATACTCATAGAGAAAAATGTTGGAGACCTTTCAATTTTGCATGATATTTTTGAAATTTTGATAGCATGTTATAAGTATTGCAGGCTATGGCATCGGTACAGTTAGTGCAATTACTGACGGTAATTTGTTGGAAAAAATGCGGATCTCTCGACTGCCATCTATTATTGTGGTTGTCGAAGGACGAGTTATTCATTATCGAGGCTCTATGCAACGTAAAATATTGTATTCTGTTTTTCTTATTATTTCTCTTAAGAATATCACTAATATCGCATTTGCAGCACTTTCTGCCAAAGCTGTCCGTATTTTTGCACGTGATGTGATCCCAAATACTTTCTTACTTAAAATCACAAATCATGATGGCTTGCGACGTTTTATTGATCAGTGGCAGACCTCAAACAAGGTACGTTCCTTTTGTTTTTCTATGATTCTTTTAATGGAGATTATAGTTTGATACATTGTTGCTCTGTGGTATTCATTCCTGATCTCTTTTTTTTCGTTCTTATTTTTATCAATGAATAGAGCATTTTCTAGCACAGGATCCATATCCGCAGAAAAATAGAACTCGTATAATTTCCTAATCTTATAGCTTTTTTTTCTTATCTGATATATTTGATAGTTACATTTACTTCTGCAGATTTCTGTTGTAATCTTCGGAAACAAGGAAAATCCTCGAATTCGCTATATGCTTACTGCAATGAAATACGCAACTTTTGCACGATTTGCTTATGTTTATCTGAATGATCAGAGCACAGAAATTGTAAAAATGCGAGAGGCTTTAGATATTACATGTTTCAAATGTGAAAATATTTTAATTTTCAACGATTTCCCACAAGTAAGTTGAAATTGATGGAAATCTGCTATCTTATTTGATTAAAAAAAAAAAAGAAAAAAAAAACTTTGACATGAATTAGTTGTTTTGATGGTTGAACTAATTTACAATTTGAACAAAATAGCATTGTGCTATTACAGAAAGGACCGATTGCTCGTCTTTCGGTTGGTAATGGTCAACAATTCAATATCGACACTATGGGAGAATTTATTGAGCGCAATAAGTATCTCACTTTGCCAAGGGTATGGATTTCTTTTTCAGTTTTTTTTTCTTTTTCATTTAGGGAAAATTTCAAAATTATAGTTATGTCTTTTTTAAGCAAATGATAAGGCCGCTTGCAAGGAGATTACTAATCAGATTTAGATGGTATTATTCTATATGTATCTTTATGTAAACGCTTTGTTTTTACCACTTGTAGAAGTATTTGCAGCTTTCGAGTCAGTCGTATTTCGATGATCTTTGTCCGATCTCATCACGAAGTTTGCGAAGTCTTTGCGTTATCCTCATGACAACAGATTCATCCAGTGATCTGTCGCAGATTGCTTCACTTCGCAATTTTGTTCACAGTCGTGGAGCCAATTTCAAGAACGAAAGATTGCGTTTCGCATATGTTTATGTCGGCAAGCAAAAAGAATTTGTTATGACGTTCTTTGATGGATTATCGCCAAGTGAGCGATCCTCTTTGCAGGTTAGATGCCTTATGGCAGTATTTAAATTGCAAAAACAGTTTTCACTCTGATGCACTTATCAATTTATCTGGCTCACAGAACATCATAAGAACTAACTGTTCATAATATGTTACGAAAGAAATATTGAAAATTAATCTTTCATTTATAAGTGAAGAATTACCTAGATTCTTTTAGAATATGACGACTACATGTTTATTAAAAAAGAAAACAATAATAAAAATTGGGTTGTCAGTGTTTTGAAAATTGCTTTTGTAGGAAACTGGACATGGTTTACTGATTCTTTGGCGTTATGATCAAAAGAAAGTTCGTTTTGCTTGGTTGAGTAATTGGTCAGTAGAGGAAAGCGTTAGTGAAAATGACCTTCAGTTCGAACTGGACGCATATATAAAAGGAGTCAAAAAATTAGAATATCAAGCAACTCTTAAACCAGTGGTATATATTTCTTTGTTTTCTTTTAGTGGTGAAATGGTCAGAAAAGCTTAAGCAATTGTATTCCAATTAAATATTCCAATTTATTATTGTTTTGAGTTATGATCCACTTTGCTACTTCTGGAGCAATGTTTTTTCAATTATCGCTTCTTATCAGTACTATAAAATCACTTTAAACCGAACTTCCTTTCTTTTCGAAAATTACTGGAATTTAACTAAACTTGATGGTTTTACTCTCTCCTCTGTTACAGTTAGATGAATATCGGCCGTCGTGGTTTACTCGCGTTTCACGTGCTGCTGTACGAATGTTTGAAGCTATGTGGTTTAGTCTAACTAAGGAAGAAGCTTTACCATTATTGAGTGCTATAGGAACATTACTGATCATATTTTTCATCGGTTATGGATTAAGTTATGCAAATGCGCTTGAAGAAAAATCTCGTAGTCACGTTTCACAGGTTTGTTGATTATTCTTCCTCGATCATAGTGTGAGTCGAAAAAAAAAACTCCGTATTTTTTTAATGTTTTCTTTTTTTTTTTTTTTTTTTTTTTTAAGCAAAATTAATTATCTTTGTCTTATATTTCAGGAAATAAGGAAAGAAAACAAAGACACTGTTGATGATGATGATCAGTGCCATCCTGAAGATCCGCGTGTCGGGCCTAGAATTAGCAGCAACCGACCACGAGTGCTTAAAAGACAACAAAAGTGAATTGATTTCGTTATCTTATTACCAAAAATAAATTGGTTCCAGTTTAGTTTTCTCATAAGTTTGGAATAATGTCTTAATTTAATTTCAAAAAAGCCTTTAGTCGTGTCTCATTTTTTGTTTAGGATTCTTTGGGATTGGTTGAGGGATTTAAAGTTCTTTTTAGAATAATGCGCGAAATGGAACCAATGATGCATGAATTGAGAGCAGAAACATATTTTGGAATGATCAGACTGCTGAAGCCTGGATGCCGATCGATCGTAGTTCTTGTTGACGAGCAATCAAAGGATATTTTGCTACCACAGTTTGCCAAACATATTTGGCCATTTAGAAAGTAAGGCTTTGTTACGTACGATGTTTGCAATGTTTTTGTTATATCTATCTATTACTATTCTCTCGTTTGATAAGTAGAATAATATGTGTAACTTTTTAGTAATAAAACATTCTCATTTGGTTATTTAATGGTAGAGAAAAACCTTTCTTGGTTCCGTAAACTTTTGGAGCATACATTACCAGCTGAAAGTGGACAAGCACATGAAGGTTGAAAATTTCTTATGATACTCTTTGTTTTAAATTCTTTTTGTTTACTTTTGTAATAGAAATTGAAAATTTTCATATTTTAAACATCGTCATTTACAAAAATGTCTATCATGGTTTTGTGTTATGTACTTTTACTGAAATCTGAGACGGATTAAGATTTCTCTTTTCTCAAAAAAAAAAGAAAAAAACAGAATATGATAGTTCGAAACGGGAATTATAGAACTATAGCATATTAGTCCGTTTGTTATTTTTCATTATTTCATAAACTGGGACTACCAAATTTTTTTATAGATGGATCATCAATGTATGAACGCTTGAAAAATATAAATCCTCGTAAAACACTGGGAACTGTGCTCGTGCTGTGTGGTTGGAAATTATATTTTAATATGTATCATCCGATGCACACACCGCCTGGAAAAAAGCATTTTCTTGGTTTTGATGATGATGGTAAAGACTGTAGCAGCGAAGATTCTGACGCTGACAAAGCAACTCGAGAGGAGGTTAGAATAAAGCTGACGCTGCAATGCACAACATTTTGTTTGTAATTCAAATATTGTGTAGTTTAATTTTCCGAATATTTTCAGTGTTTTAGCGGTATCATTGATTTCCTTAGTGTGTGTGTGTGTGTGTGTGATTGTTAATTAATTACAGGTCCAGACCTTGCGTAGAGGACAACATCTTAAACTGGAAGATGTGCTCAATGGCCTTCCAAACTGGTTGGATCGTTTGGTAGAGGGTTCTATTAGACGATATTATGTACCCGAGTGGCCTAATAATCTCCGATGATTTTTTTTTTTTCTTTTTTTGTAAATGTTATTCGCCAAATGGAATATTTTCCATCATTATGTGGTAGGTAAATTTAATTTTTTGCTTAGTAGAGTTCTTGACAAGATTCGATATGTTTTTATTTCTTCGGGTTTTAAAATTATTTTTTTGGTATAGAATTCCATCGGTTATTAATATTTTGTTTGTGATTTCTGTGACTAATATCGACTTATTAAAGGAATAAACAATTCGAACCATTTAAATAGAGCAAATAGCTTCTTCATGAACAAAATTTTATCATCTTGATAAATTTAAATATGTTAACTTGTTAATATTCATTACTGACCGATATGAAGTCCTTCTTATTTGAAGTAATTATATTTACTCTTTGAGTTTTTAGTGACGCTTTGTTTCACGATCTACTGACATTCAGTGAACCATTAGTTTCTAAGTGTCTATTGTTTAAGAGAATCTCATTTGTTTGAAAATTTTTGGTGCTTTTCGGATACATTTATCCGTTGTACTTTTAATAAGATACTAACTTTTACATTTTAAGATGTTTAATGATTTTTACATTATGATTTTGCTTTCGCACAATTTTTTGCTTCGTGTAACTTTTATTTCCTCTGCTGTATGTATATCAATATAATAATATGACATTAATTAATTTGTTATGTTAATATTATATATACGTACGTAGCTATGACATGTTACCGTGCTGAGCCGTTAACTTTTCAGTGCTATTGTAAGTTCTTAATATTGACAGACTGCTATATGTTATACTTTTAATTTTATCTTGGTTTACTGCTCTATTTCTGCTATTCATAGACATCTTTTAGGACAACGATTAAAGTTTCTTAAATCCTTTCCGGATTTTTTTTCTTGACCTTGATTTTATAGTTTACGATAAAAGAAAAATTGGTCATTTTCAAAGTGAGAGTTAAAATAATTCAATATTAACTGAAAAAGCAAGATTTATGGAATAATCTATACCTCATTTAAATGAAGAGCAATGTATTGTCGTTTATTTTGTGATAAATTTTTAACTAATTTGTGTCCTGTGACTTGTAAAACGTTATAATTTAGTCAGCTCTATTTCATCAGTTCTGTAAAGTTACCTCAAAATTTTAAAGTATCTTTTTATCAGCATACATTCTAGAAGAGTATAAGAAATGCGATGTCATTATGATGTGTTAGAGGTTGATTGTAATGCCGATGATGATACGATCAAAAAGGCCTATCGAAAGTTGGCTCTCAAATGGCACCCTGATAAGAATCCAAGTAATGTGGAGGAATGTACTAGGTAAAATTGCAGGTCTAGATTCCAAATTTCATTGTTATGAAATTGAAGAAACATTGGTGAATTGATTTTCCTTAATAAAAGTTGTTTCCATAAATTCGACAAAATGGTTCTATTTTGAAGTGCTTTTACTTTCTATATGACAAAATTCCTAGGTATTTTGCGTTAATACAACAGGCATACGATATTTTGAGTGATCCACAGGAAAGAGCTTGGTATAATCGACATAGAGAAAGCATTCTGAAAGGAGGTTATTTTCTTAATTGAATTTTTTTAAATACAAACTTTACTAGTACTTGTGGGGGAAGAATATTGTGTGGTTGTGAAGCCTGAATAATAAGTGGTAATGGGATTCGGCTGATTTTAACTATGCAATACTAATGGGAGTTATGGCATTAAAGTTTGGCTCATTAAAGTAAAACTGGTCTCATAATTAGGTAACGATTAATTACGTAAACGAGGTAATAATTGGTGTTACTGTCATCTTGTGTCTCGGAAAGCTATTATTCTGTAGTAAATTTTCTCTGGCAGCGCTACAGCCATACAGTATTAACATTTTAAAAGATAATTGTGAAATGAGTCATCGAAACTTCTCGTTCAACCATAATTTCGATTCATTCAAAATATTTCGCCATATAAATGTTCAGGAATTGATGAACATTATGAAGACAACAGTCTCAATTTATTTCCTTACTTTACATCAACTTGTTATTCCGGTTTTGATGACAATCATAAGGTAAGTTTCTATTCTGAAAGCCAATTATAATTCTATTTGCAATACTGTCCCACCATAATAACAGAACAAATGTAGCAACAAAACGTTAAGGAGGAAACATATTATAATATGCATAACTTCTTATGACTTAAGTCTCCCAGAAGTATTCTAGAGACAGAAATTTTCTAGCATAGATCAAATTTTAAATTTCTCATAAAGAGTCTAATGTAGAAGAAATAATGTTTAATATATTATAGCTTTAAGTGTTGCAGAATTTTTATGATGTATATAGACAAGTTTTCGAGACCTTGGCATCTGAAGATTATGAATTCCTGGACGGAAAATTTGAAGAATATCCAAGCTTTGGTGATGAGAACAGTACTTATGACGATGTATGTTTAAAACATGACCTTGTTTTATATTTTATAATCATATTTTTACAGAATTATTTGTCTAGTAATTCATAGAATCAGAACTAACTTCGGAATATTAGGAATTTTTTTCATTTTTAATATTGTCCATAAAAATATTTAGGCCCCATTTAATCAACTATGTGGTTTTATAGGTAGTTGGTCCTTTCTATGCATTCTGGGGAAGTTTCTGCACCGTCCGGTCATTTGCATGGCTAGACAAATTTGACATACGTGATGCTTCAAATCGTCGTGTCGTTAAAGCGATGGAGAAAGAAAACAAAAAATTAAGGGAAGCAAGTAAACGTGAAAGAAACGAAGAAATTCGGGTTATTTTAATATGTTTTCAAAAATTTTAAGCAACTTTGTAAGGATTTGAAATAGTTTGAAATGTTGAGATTAATTCACATTTCATTCTATTAGAATGTCGAAAATTGCCTTTCTCATTCATAAAAGAAGAAAGGTAATGTATATAGTTCTATAGCTTGCAATGGCAGATAAGGATTTAATGGAAAAATATATATTTTTATTTTTTTATTTAAGGCTTTGGCTGCATTTATACGAAAACGAGATCCGCGAGTTCGTGCACATAGAAAAGAGCTGGAAGAGAAGCGGTTGGAACAAGAAAGAAAGACAGAAGAAAATAGGAGACTGAAAATTCTGGAACAATTAAGGTAATTTCAGAAATCCGACTAAAAATTCTCAAGTTTTTAGATTAATTCGATTCAACGTGAAAAAAAAGCGTTGGCAAAAATTAACATTCAAGCGCTTTGATAGTATTCATACTTTAAAGTTATTAAAATTATTAGAAAGAGCATTTCATTGGCTATATTTTTTCTCTTTATCCATCCTTTTTTATTTTCAAGTCAAGCTAAGGAATATAAGGAGTCGGAAGAGGTACGACAGTCGCAGCTAGAGAATTTACGTGAAATTGAGGAAGCTTTGGATGTTGAATTCGGAAGTAGTAATGGCAAAAGTAACATGGAATTTCATGAAGAATCGGACTTTTACTGTGTATTTTGTGAAAAGGTATTCAAAACTGAGTAAGTGACTAGTTTTTTTATAAGAAAAAACTTTCGTTCTTCCGGAGGTTAAAGTCTGCTGCACTTTTTATGTGACTCCATTATAGAAAGGCAATGAGCAACCACAAGAGATCGAAAAAACATAAGGATACAGTTGTACTGTTAAAGAAGCATATAAAGGTATTCAGGTTTCACATTAAATTCCTTTAATTTCCGATACCATTTTGCATGAAGTGTTTTTAGTTGAATTTAAGAAGTTTATTGTTCTATATAAATCCGTATTATTCAGTGTTACCTCCCAGATTAAAATCAGTGCATCATGAAATATTTTGGGATAGGATAAAACCTTTCATTCATCAATTGTTAAAATTCTTTAATTTCAAGGAGGATGATGCCTACATATTAATGGCTGATGAAAAAGATATTGAAGATGAGGAAGCCGAAAGTAAAAAGAAGTCAGGAAAGCAAAAACGCAAAGAACAGAGAAAAAGTGGATATGATTCTGATAAAAGTTGGGTAGATGATGGGTAAGATTAACGATCTTTTCGGACTTGTAATTTTTCCGCACTTCATTTTAATAGTATTTTTGTTTTACTGTTTCTATTTAACTTTAAATCAGCGTTATTTGAGAGGCGAGCCAGGCACGTCGGAGAATGAAACGAATGAAATGTTTGTTAAAAATGATATTGAGTCGAATGGCGAGAAATATGTTGCAAACTCTGATGAGACAAATATATTCTTGAAAATGTCCAAAGTTTCAAAAAGATCGCGACCTGACAATAAAGGTTTTTATGTTATTGGTTCTTGCATATTATTTGTTTCGTGAGTATTCATTTACCACCTAATTCTTTATTATTAAAAAGATGAAATGTCCTTTATTCTCTTTGCCGTTTTCTATTAATTTAATTCTTCTTTTGTACTGCTTATTTTTTCGTAATTTAAAGTTGATGATTGGGCAAATAAGAAGTGTAATGTAACGGATGACACTAGTTGTGAAATTTTAGTAGTAAAGCAAAGCTGAGTGACTTTTGAATGGTATTAGTAAGACTTTCAATTAAATTTTAATTTTCAGTTAAATATATGCGAATTGAAAGAAAATATTTTGCACTAAGGACATGATTTAGAGAATGATAAAAAAAATTTCAGCTCGGAGATGTAAAGAAGGAACTGCTAAAAGTAATGCGACGGAAGATACAAAACCAAAAAAATGTACATGTGATTGCTGTGGTGAAATTTTCGAATCTCGGACAAAATTATTTGCTCATTTGAGGAATTCCGGTCACGCGACACTGAAATCACTTCCTGTTACATCTTCAGCAAAAACTAAAACCAATAGGATTAAGAAAAAGTGAATTTTATAACCAGTCTTTTGTTTACTTTCGAGAATTCTGCCTCTAATAAATCTTTGAAATAAAACTCTATTTTTTGAAATTGTCTTGAATATGCGATAGTATATAAATTGTTAAGTATTTTATGCGATAGTTCCAAATATCAGAATATTAAAAAGTAGACAAAGTGAAATTAAATAATTTGTTCATCCTAGCTTTAAGTGCGCACAATGTCAGACTTTTAAAGACCATTTTTTTTGCCTCTTCACTTCCTTGCTAGATTGATGTAATTTTGGATTACTGCTTGAGGTATTTTAAGAAGTTGATGTTCCATCAAAAGGAAATAGCACTGTATGGATGAATGCGGAACAATTGCTCATTTTGTCTAATTCGATCGATCACTCATGAAATTTGCTTTATAGAATTAATGAGCTTTGTCTTTATCTCTTAAAATCATAACTTTAACTAATATTTCTGGACGTCAGTGTTTTGTTTATCAGTATGGAAATTTTCAAAAGCTGAAAATCTTTCCGGTCTATATAACTGTGTTTAGATTTGATATACATTTGTAATCAAGTCTTTTCTGGATTATTATCCACTCATGAAAACTTCCTTCTTTAATTTACAATAGTTTTAAATGTATCTATTTGCAATAGATACATCAAAAGACTTTAAAGTTGATTGACAACATGTGACACAATGCAGGGCAAGTTTATAGTCAACTTGTAGACCTAACAATTGAAGTATATTTCCAAATTTGAAGTATATTTTTTTTAGATGCTCATATACGTTCATCTCGAAGGTTTAAGCTGTAAAGAAGCAGTAATCTTATATTTGTTTACTTTTTCTTCATACTTCAAATTTTACAATAGTTCGCCTACTTAGTTCACCTAAGTCGATCGAGTGATGCCTATCAATCTTTCGTCGTTCCTTGATGAATTTTTCATGGAGTAATATGCCATCTTCTTGTACTGTTTCAAGCGACCTGATGATATTGATAATTAATTATTACATTGATAGAGGAAAGTTATGAATGAGGGGAGAAGCTTTAAGCAGGAACTAACCCAATTGTCAGACGATCATAACGAGATTTTCGTTCGTTAATACCCTGCAAATTTCACAAAAAGTTACCCGATAGGAGAATTTTTCAGTTGAAATAAATATGAATATACTAAAATAAAGAAATACCTGTAAGGAATAACCAATGCGCTTTTTCACGGAACAGCGACCTTTAAGCAGAAAAGATGATCGCCTTGATAATAGTTGATTTTCCTCAACAGCTGTTGATATCAAGCTATCGAGATCTCTCAGTACACTCTTCAGCTGTCGAGGTGATGCCTGTAATTGGTCATAGGAGCTATGTCAACTGAATAAAATTAATTCTTTAAAATTTGACTATCCATGTTTTTAATAAAGTTCTCCAGTGAGTAGGAGAAGGAACGAGATGCATCCATCCATTGTTCATTTAATTAATAATTCATTCCTTTTCGATTTTTGATTAACTTAATTTGAGGTTATCACATACTACAGTTAAGATTACTTTTCACTTAATTCTTAAATTAATATGAATTCTCATATATTTGATTACTTAAAAACGTTCAGTATTTCTTAAGCTTACATTTAATTCAGCTGCAACAATTTCAAGTAGTTTCGATACTTTCATACTTTTACCACCAAACCAAACGTGCACATCACGGGCTCCACGTAACTTTCGTCCCAAGTAGTGAATCTAAATTTGAAACTCCAGTTTTTAGTAATTTTAGTAGAGATTATTTCACATTTGTGTATCTACGGGTTATTAATGCTATCATCTATTTTAATACCAAAAATTTTAAAGCAAAAGAGAGTGATTTATTATTACTATTGTTATTTATTGTTTATTATTATTTTTATTTATTTATTTATTCTTTATTATTTACTATTATTATTATTATTATTATTATTATTATTATTATTATTATTATTATTATTATTATTATTATTATTATTATTATTATTATTATTATTATTATTATTGTCATTATTAGTATTAATTATTAATTATCAATTATTATTATATAAAGTAATGTGAAGATTTCAACCATCACTGTAATCACTGTTACTGCTATTTGCAAAGGAAATAATGATAATTAATTTAAAAGAATAAAGACGTATAGTGAACAAATAAGATACTGAAATGTAAGCTTAATAAGGAGAAAATGTGGTGGATGAATAGTGATTAAATAAAATATTTAGTGGCTAATTTAATTATTTTTCAATTTTTTTTTTCTTAATTTAAAAAAAAAAAAAAAAGAAATGAAATGATATATAGAAGTTATAACATACCGTTCTCAAATAGCTACTTACGATAGAAAATGTTGTTGTCATCAGAATCATTCCCCATACCAAATAACAAACCATAGCAATTAAGCGTAATGGATCATCTGCTGTTGGAAATTTATCACCGAATCCAACGGTAGCAAAACTGATAATACTTAAAAATTCCTAATACAGTATTCGGATAAATTGCTAAAGATAGAAGGAATGATATCAGTGTAATCCGGTTTACCTGAAATATACGTCATCCATCGAAAAGCCTCTTCCTTTTTGATAGAACAGTATCGAACCAAATGCAAATGTTATCAGGAATAGAATGATAATTGTCGGTAATGGCATCTTTGCATTCTCACATGGTCGCCAGCGCATTTCCTAAACAATTATCAGGTTGAAAGTTGAATGACTAGCAGATATCAGTTGAGCTTTTATTTGTAAACTTAGTTACAACTCATCTTTAAGCTCATTTCTTTATGATTCAAATTTGATTCGAATATCACAAAGTGATGGTAATTGTGATTTGTAAATAAAAAATGAAAAGAAAACTTTTCTACCTGAATTTGTTCCTTTTTTTTTTTTTTTTTTCAAATACATTTTATTTAATGGTTACTGAATTGATAGTGAGTCTAGAAAAAGTAAAAAAAAAAAAATAACTGACCTTACCAAGGCAAACTAATGCCATCCAATAACTTTTTGTTAGATATTTTCCAAGATTCGCTAATGTTAGCAAAGTCATTGGAATGCCAAATATTGAAAATGCTATACAGAACAATTGCGCCCATGGCGTTGATGGTGTAATATTGCCATAACCTATAACTGATTAAAGTCGAATCTTAGAAAATACGATTCAGATGATCACTGCCAAATGTCGTGGCATCAAAATAAGGTGACACTTTTATGTGATATTTGTCAATGAAGTACTACAGCGAAGTTAAGAAACCTATCGTAGCAATAGTAGTAAATGAAAATAGAATAATATCTGTGAAATTTTCCTTGGCTAAATTGTCATCCAAAATGACAAACATTGCTGAACCGAACAAAACATATGCAATAAGTAATATAATTATGAGCATTTGAGGTACCACTACCCGTAAAACCTGAAAATAAAAAAAAAAAATTTTGAAATTGAAATTTTATTAAATTGACTATTAAAGGTTTCTACTTTTTCTTTCTAAAACATTGTGATAAAACAGAACTTATGAAAATAAGTACCGCAAATCAGATTTAATAAATTTTTGGTATTAAATAAATTTTATATAAAAGATATTTGACAAGCTTTCCACTTTTAAAAATAAATTCTGTATTAGCAAATAATGTTGACTTGATTTGTTCTAATAAATTTATCTAAAATCAATTAATTTAAAATTTCTTATACACTTTATAAACTAGAAGAAGATATCATATGATTCGATTTAGCAATATATTTTTTGATTATTGTAATGAACAAATGAGAAAACAAAATGGAACTACAAAAAGCAATAAATAAATAAATTGGTATACTTAAGCAAATAATGTTCCATTCTTTTACAATTTAAAATTTTTGATGTTAAAATTATCCAAATTCATAAACAATATTATTTGAAATTTGGATTGAAATTCCACAAAAGCATTAAAAAGTTCAGTTTTTCAAGTAAATTTCTAACTTGAACTTAATGAATACATTCTAATGTTTCACTTTATGTCAAACAAGTAAAACAGGATTTCCTGAAATATTTATAACTGATAAAATTTGATTGTTCCATATATTTGCTCATCTGGGATGTTATCAGTAATTTTTTATTGCAAACTTTAAGTCAAAATTTGCTTAGAAATAGTTAAACTGATAGCGATAGATTATTATGAATAAATATGAAACGAACCGTGGAACCCCAAAAATCGAATTTCAAAATTGATAAATTCATAATTGCTCCTTCTTTTTATTTAGCTTTAATTCCATGAGCAATGTGATCGTATTCTTTTACATCTAATTTTAAAACAAAATATTCTGCGACATGCCAAAATTATATATTAACAATTTCGAATTAACTGAAGGATAAAAAAGTACTCGTAGATTGAATTAATACTTAAATATATGCATATTGAATATGAAATATTTTATAGTATTTAATATGTTTAGTTGAAAAACAAACTCAACGCAGTATAAGAAACCTATACAAAAGTAAATTAAAAATAAAAATAAATTCATTTCTTTATTTTTCAAAAATCAGTAATAATTAATTAATAATAATAATACTAAATAATAAAATATTTTTGAAATTTTTGAAAAGGGTATCATGTTTACATAATCAATCCTTTGTGTCTAATTTAATCTACAACGACCGTAGCTCATTTCTTTTTTAAATTTTCCAAATTTCTAAATCAATTTAAAGTTTCTAATTTCAATTATTACCTATTAAAATTCAAATAAAATTTTGTTACTAAAAAAAGAAAAGAAAAACGCAAAAAAAAAAAAAAAATTGCTACAATAGTCAATGAATGATAAAAAGGACAGGAAGGTAAGAAGATCAATTTTGGAAGCAACGTTTATTTAATTTTAATAGATCGAAAAAGAAATTAATGTTCATCACATCAAAAACAGGTTAATGAAATAAACTGAGAGAGAGAGAGAGAGAGGGAGAGAGAGGGAGAGAGAGAGATGTATGAGACAGCCTCTTTTTATACTTTACATTTCAGTTTTATCAGCTGATTGATATGATTCATACTCGTTTAAAGGTATAATGATACCTGGAAGACAATTATGGTATCATTTGTTATCTAACAAAGTATTTTATGATGTTACTCGAGTTTTTATTTTTATTTTTATTTTTATTTGCTTCGTTTTAAAATTTATTTTCTGGGATTTTTTTTTTCTTAGAATTTTGCAAATTGTTTTGAAAGTTTCAATTTGCAGATGCAATTTGCAAACAAATATTATTACATTTGATTTAAAAATTTAACCACTACTTTAATCTAAATATTATTTTGAATCTTGAATTTAATGTGCAAATATATTATAATTTCATTTGTTGATACATTGTTTTAATGATAACCATTATGTGCACATATAATGACACAAGAAGATTTGCTGATCTAAAATCGATTGTTTATCAATTATCGATTAGTGTTTATCAATTATCGACAAGAAGATTTGCTAATCTAAAATCGATTGTTTATCAATTATCGATCAGTTCAGAAATAAGAACTTATTTACAAAAGAAAAACAATATTTTAAATCTTACACTCATATTTTGTCTTACTTTTTCTCTTTCCTAATTTTAGTGAAAACGTACGATTCCTGAATTAAATTTGCAACTGAAATATTTTCTCTTTTTTTTTTTTCATGAATTTCTCATGAAAATTTTTACCAGAATTTCATATCGAATTTTATTCATATATTATTTATGCTTGTATTCAATCACTAGTATTCAGCATGTCTTTAACAAATTTTAAGGAATAAATTCTGAAATAAATAATCTGAGAGAGATGCACTCTGTAAATTGTTACAAGCAAATTTGTTAAAAATTTCATCAACTGTTGACAAATTCATCACAACACAACTTATCGATTTTTAATTATTTTTCGTTTGAATTTTATTCATATATTATTTTTGCTTACATTTCGTATTTATTTCTACAAATTAACTAGTTTATAAAGTATACAATTTTAAAATGCCTTATAAGAGAAAGTACTAATGTCACTTAGAAATCTTATAATTAATTAATCTTTCATATAATATATTATCTCTCATATAATATATTAATCTTTCATATAATATATATATATTTCATATATAATATATTTCTTCATTTCCTTTTTACTACATTTATGGAAATTTCATGTGTATTTTACATATCTCAGCTTTACATTTTAGAAAAAATATGGAAAATTTCCAAATACTTTTTAAGAAATAGAAAATATCCATCAAATTAACAGTTGCAATTAATAATGGAGAAATTGGATTGTGCTGAAGTTGAATAAATTTCATATTCATATTATATAGCAATAGTTATGTTTAGACCAGTGATAAGTGACAAGTGATAAGGTAACATATTAAATTACCATATTCCTCATTAAATACCATTGAATGTAATATTATTACAAAATTATCTGATGTTATCTGTTCGAAATTGATAGCAATGTTGACATTAAGTTCAAAATTATCAACTTAAAATGAGCTTAAGTGATAAGAAAGTTCCGAAGATTATGAATGGTTAATTAATGACAACTATTGTATATTATCAAACCTTAAAGGATTGCTATAGTTCAAATAAAGTAATTTAGTAGTAAATTTAGTAATCGATGAAAATAAAGGGAATCTTGTCAGATGTTAATTGTATTGAAGAATATTGGAAATGTTTAAAATCAGAAGTGGAAATGTTTAAAATGTTTAAAATCAGAAGTGAGCACTGAAGTACTGTAAATGCATGAATTGTAACCATTTTGAAACAATGATATATTTACTGGTTTATGTTGAAAATGAACGAAGATGAAAGAATAATTACAAATTCATAAGCAATTCAGCATGAAAATTTGAAAATCTATTTTAAAAAAACATATTTGACAAAAGAATTTGAATCTCATTTAGGTTTGCATTATTTTAATTGATCAAAAAGCCGGATGGTTAAAGATAGCATTTCCATAAATTTCCATTAAACCAATGGAATTGATAAATAGCAGCTAATTTTAAAATCACTACAGCATGCTTGCTTTTCTTTTCTTTGTAATCGAATATTGCAAACAAACTTATCCATAATCGATTTATCGAAATCGGAAAAAAAATTAAAAATAATTTATTCAAGTAACTTATAACTTATTTCCAAAGTATCCAATCATAAATAATAGAAATTTTAATCATTCTTGTCAAATGATCCGATAAATATGAAAATATTTACTTTCCCTGAATTTTCATAGACGGAATTCTACACTAAAACATAGTAACTATATACTGATATCTGTTGAACACTTTTTTTTTTTCGTACTTTTCTAGAACATATGTTGAAACTGAATGAAGAAAGTTGACATTTCACCTGAATTCATTCTTTACAAATTTGCATTCTTTGAGAACTTTTTCAGCAGGTAAACAATTCGAACAACAGTGAAGCAGGAATACTTAAAATAGTTTTAATCTGTTAGAAAACATGTGAAAATGGTTTAACTCTTTCCTCCAAGGAGTAAAAAGGTTGGATTAAGAAGTATTTTATTCTTATAACAGTTCACTTAACCCTAATAGATATTTATTAAATTGCAACTAGATGTATAAGTTATAGACAACAATCAACCTTAGATTAAAGCATTTGACAGTACCGTGATGCTATCGAGAGCACTGAGAAATCGTTTCACAGACGGGAATGAATGAAGAAATTAGCCAACTATAAATATGATCATTTTTACCATTTCAAACTTTTTTTAATACTTCGGTTACAATTTGGAACCTCTTCTCCCTAATTTTATTGATTCCTCATAGAAATCAACAGGTTTGAAATAAATTTCACTGGAATTTCAAGAACAAAATCATCAAAATTTCGTTATAACTGCAAGCATTAGAATTAATGATTTAAAAGATCGAGAAAATTCTGTAGTTTCTCGAGAGTCGTATAGTATAGCTTCACATATATTTATAGTATAGCTTCATTTTCTGAAGTATTCATTTTTATTACATAATAGTGATATGCTTCAAGATTATTGGCCATATTTTTCATATAATACAAAATATATCGCAATAATTCTCATAAAAAGTCTGGAATAGTTTAAGAGAAGGTAAAATGCGCTCATTTTTCATTTTCTTCATCATACATAGAAGATACGAATCTGTGACGTGCTTACCAGCAAATTATCATCGTAAAAGCTCGTCTCGATTACCACATTGCCACTACAACTGTCACATTTCAAAGAACGATGACAGAATGTCACTTTCCGTTCAGTTTTGGAGTAAGTTAGCAATGCATTCTTTAGTATTCAATAGAATGTACAAAATGGAACATAGAGAAAGATTGCATGGTATGCACGCAAAGATGTATACCATCCGTTATAAGCAGCAATTTACTTGGTATTTAATTTTTGACTGTTTAAAATATAATTAAAATAAGAACAACCACATCCTCATGGATTTTTTTTAACTTAATATGTAATTCAAGAAATAAATGAAAATATATAATCGGCAACAGTAAACTTGCCTTAACAATGATGCAGGCAGCATCTGTGCCTCTGGTGCGGCTTCGATTAAACTCTGCCACGTATTTGTTGATTGTGGTATTACAAATCCAAAATCAAAAAACCATTCTAGAACTCTTTTTAAGACAAAGTGATTTCGATTAAAATAACTTAGAATTTTGAAAAAAAATTACGAATAAACTGCGAAGATTTACTCAATTCTGGCAATGATTTAAATTAACAGACTGTAAGTAAAACTCCAAATGGTGCTTAACCTTTTATTATACGGACAGTTTCAGTCCGTATAATAAAAATAACCAGTAACATAGGGATTCAGATCAAAACATCCTTCTAAATTAACAAAATACCTTCAATAATATCGCCTTTCAGGTAAACACGTTGCTCTAATCGAAATTTATTTATTTTTTCGGCCGAAGTGAAATTTATTTCACGCGACACTGCCCGACATTTCAAGATACTTTTAGGTACACGAGCTGCAATATGTTATCGAAGAACTTTGTAGGAATTCAAGCTAATTAACCATTATTTTACAACCAGTGACAAATACATCTATGCATTTGTTCCTAATTCCTAACATCTAACTTAATAATGGTATCTTTAATCTATCACCTATTTGAAAGAACAGTGATTAACAAACCTTGATGTTCTTTTCCTGGCAAGGCGAGATCCTCATAACTTTGCCATAACACTTTTCCACTTTCCGCATCACGTAAACTCATCCAATTCCTACAAATTCATATGCCAGTTCACCTAATCACCACCGATATTATATAACTACGATAAAAATGTAAAGTTTTGCATTCTTCGTTCAAATAATTGATGCTTAATTAAAATAAATTATTAAACCATCAAGTTAATTACAAGCTTAAATTGTTTATATTGCTATGTTTTTCATGTACTTTCACAAAAAAAAAAAAAAAAAGTGCATAAAAAGTATCAAAAAAGACAACAATACGCACAGCTTGAATCCTTCCAAAATTTGCTGAGCTCGAGACATAATACTATATGATACAACAGCATAAAGAATATTCTTCAACACACGGTCTGTATTGAAAGATTCATCCTGGAAATTAAACAAATTGTTTTAAAATCAAAAAAAAAAAAAAAGATTTGCTAACAATTTTTGAACATTTAAAATAAATGAAACTTTCAGGGTAAAGTTTTTATTGATTGATCTACAAGATCAGAATATGACATAAAGTGTAGAGAAAGAATGCGATTTTTTTTTAATCCTACTCCAATAGAAATCTATTTAGGAAGGAATAGCTATCCCCGTAATTTAATATTTGATAGATGTTTCAAGAATGAATATGGCATGCAGTGGCAAAAGCTCAAATCTATGCTTATTTCATATCGAATCGACTAGAAATTTGAGAAGCATAGTCCATTAATGTTATAGCTTAGCTTAAGATTATAATAGCTTAGCCAAGAATGAACGATAGGAAACTGAAAATTTTTTCTCAACTTTTTAATTAAAATAAGATATAGCGTGTAATGGTCTCAGATAGATTTGAAGCATGAAATTTACATAGCAGTATAATATCACTTAGTGCAAAATGAATAGAGTGAAGAAGAAATGCAGGAGAAATCGAGAATATTTTCAACGAGACAATCCGCCTAGAGGATCCGGTCGCTAGGTGACAAACGCTGGAACAACGCTCTCATTCATGCATCATATCATATCTTCTAGTAACTTAGAGATGAAAATCTTATTATAATAAATAACCATTTAAACAATATTACATAAATACCACAGCAAGTATCATCAAATCCTTAATCGCTAACATTTAAATTAAATTTGAAACTTGAAATTTCACAGCGTGTTTAATGGGGGACTGCATTATCTGAAGAGGGTAGCCTTGGGTAAATTTAGTAAAATCGGGAATGGGATTCGTTGATTCTGATGATTTCGTAGAATTTGTTCCAGTTCATTCTTTATCTGATCATATATATGTAATATGTTAATGTTGCAGTATAACTTTCTATTATCCTATGGGATCATCTCAGAGCTATGAAGAAAGCAACCGTTCCGATGATCTTCCGAAGGTACCGTTTGTTTTTTTCTTTTACTTCTTGAAAATTATTTTCTAATCCTAAAATGGTTGTTTACTCGTTGTATGAACGTCTATTATTGATTTGATAGAATAGGAATATTTTCACCTCCAATAATTTTAAGAATTTGTGTCTATACATTGTTGCTATTTCATATTTTGCAGAATTAAAACTCTTGTTATTAAATTAACCTATAATAAATTAATTTAAGCTGCGATAAGAGTTATTTGATTATTTCGCCTTAATTGTTTGTGAAAGCTCTCATTTTCAGGTGATAAGAATCGAGCGAAGTGAAATACCGGAAGAATATAGGACAGTTGCGGTATCACATGATGTTGTTGATCAGATCCTAAATTTGGGAAATCCGGAAAGTGGGATTGTCAATGACTTGAGGTACTGTTTACTTTCAAATTTTGTTTGGAAAGTTTATAAAGTTCTGATTTACATATTTTTTTAGGCACTTAAATGTTGTATTGCAATAATTTAGGAGGCAGTTGGCCGAGGAACACCAAGATAATCTCAAACTGCGAGAACAAATAAAAAATCTTTCAGAATCAAAGCTTTCATTGCAAAAAGCTGCAGCCGGTTAGTTTGTATTTATTTATTTTTCTATTTTTAGGCAAACGTCATTTGATTAAGCTTTGTTCGGATGGAAACTGCTTGCAAATTAAACCTAAGATATTTCAAATTGTGATTAATGGTATTTTTTAATTATTGTAAACTGTATTTCAGTGCTATGTGATGGGAGTGATTAATGATAAATTACTTGTTCCTTATATATGAATAGGAATGTTATTAGTAAAAAAATGAAACCTGTGGTGTGTCTGAAGATTTGAAATCTACTGATTTTTTAGGAAAAATCTCAGTAACTGATTTGCAAGCACGAAAGGATGCATTTGATGAGACAGTGAAACGGATTGAAAAACAGTACTTCTCTTACCAGCCGGAAAATGTTTGTAAAACGTTTGAAAATGTAAGTTATTATTTAATATTAAGTAGTAATGGCTAGCGAATATTTCATTTCCTTTTCCCAAACATTTGTTTTGATACTTTCTTCCCACGTACGTTTTGATAAAAAATCATATCAAAAAGTTCGTTTAGAATTTATCAAAAGTTAATGACGAACTGACTTTTAGTTACTGATCTTTTCTTAATGTTTTTATTGTTCGTGGGCATTAAATGGTAGATGATAGAACTGAAATCGTTCATTTCAACTCTTCAGGATTTAATGGAATGCATTATGAAAAATAAAAACAAATTACTAAATTGTACATCGTTTGCGGTGGATATGACGAAATGTGCCAGTGATTTCCGAGAAAAAGTTTTGAAAGAAGTGCCACATTTATAACATATTCTATATGTTTATTATTTGGCTCTGCTATTTTTATTTTTTTTATCGCTAGCCAAATTATGTTAATGTAGTTTTATTCATTTCACGTTTCATTACAAAAATTTTTTCGTGTACGGTGCGAAGGGATGGAATATCGGTATATGAAATAATCCTGAAAATGGAACTTTTTTAAATTATAAAATCTTATTTACTTTTGAATTATCTTATTAACTTTTAGACTTTTTATTTATCTTGTTTTTAAATCTTATTTAGTTTTGCAAATCTAAAACAAGAATACTTATGAATATAATTTTTTAAATGAAATTTTGTATTTCTGTAAATCGACTTTTGTTCTTTACAGAATGTCCGTATACGTTATGTATTGGTCTTATATTTTATTATTTACTATGTGTTCAGTATTAAGTGTTAGGATGATGTTACTATTTCGAAATGGTTCTACTAGGTGCTTTAAAATTCCTTTAGATTTTTAATAGAATGTTAGTTCTGCCAAAGTTCAGTTCTTCAATAGTTCAGGAAATTCACTTTTCTTGCTGTCAACTTAACCTCAATGTTTGTTACATTCATAACTTAATTTATATAGTGTTTCTTTGAATATATATAACTGATAGTTTATGTTTCGTGGTTTTTTATTCTCTGGTCTTGATTTTTTTTTCTTTTTTCTTTACGCGTGGTATTAATAAATTGCTCAGTACTCAGAGATTTGATACATTTTGTTGGATCACAATTATCAAATATTATTTCGAAAATTTTCAAACTATAGTGAAAAATGCTGTAGATTAGGACAATCGCGATTATAATACCTAATGGATAGATTAAACGGATTGGTTTAACTGCTGCATGCGTAACTACAAACCTTTGCATTTGAGTTTTGGTGGTTTTCATAGCTGACCGCTTTTTAGGTTTGGTAATGGTTCGGCGAAGGGGGTATGCGTTCGATCTTCCTTGTTTTGAATATTTATGAGGAATGCGATGCAGCTGCAGCAGAATTGTTGTGCTGTTGGCTACATTATTTCTTGGAATTGCATTGTGGAGTTTTAACAATAAGAGACGATACCAACAGATTTTGGAATACCAGATTTCTTCAGATGATATAACAAAATTAGAAAGTGGCAAAAACTGTACAACAGATACATGTCTCAATTTATTGTCATGTTCACTTCATGACGGTCAGCTAACTGTCTTTGTTGAACCATTCATACGGGTCATCGATGAGGTGAATTATTTTTTGATAAATGTTGGAAGAGAATAGGAAATCGTAAAGATTACTGGATGATAGAATTCTAGTGAAATGGAATACGATGTATCACGGAGATAATCCGCAAAGCGATTTGGAATAAACTGTTTTGTCTGAAGTTCTATAATGTTTCAGAATGGCAAAGATATAACGCCGTCACCTTCAAGCGAGTATCTCGAGATACGTTCAGTGATTGAACGATCCAGATACAGAGTTAATGCAATTGAAGATGCCTGCCTTGTTGTGCCTGGATTTGATACTCTTAATATTTATCGTTTCAATGACGATGAATCATCTTTTTCGAAAAATTTCAATGCAGGTGCTCGCCTGAACAATCACAATGTGCTCATATTTGCATTTGCTGGTGCCAGTCTTCTTGATATTAATGCTATTATTGCAAGGTTAATTCTTTTCAGAAGAAAACATGCTCTAATCTCTGTTATATACGGCAGAGTATGCAAATAAATGATACCTGGGTACTTCTCAAGCATTATCTTGGGCATATGAACTGATAGATCTCTTTACAGGACCGGATCTCGTCGTAAAACTTTTCGACGTGGCTTTGATTTATCGCTGCCTTTATGGAACCCCTATGTTTCACCATCATCTTTCTTATCCTCTTTGGAGAAATTTTCATATTTTATCGTTGTCCCGATAAAATTTGCTTCACACAATGTTAAAGTATTATTAAAAAATTTATTCAACGAAAATGATTGTCTTGTCTTGGACGAATGCGATGTAACAGATGGAAATTTCTTATGCGACAGTCGTGGGGATGCCCACAATTTGGGAACAATTGTTAAGGTTCGGATTTTCTGTTAACAAAAAAAAAAAAAACCTTTTATTCAAAATCAGTAGTAAATGAAAAAATTTGTACTCATAAGTCAATTTATATATAGGAATACAAAATTACATTTTATTTGGATAAAAATGCTGAAGAGATCAGAGGAAATGGTGTCGCACAAATTAATAAATAAGGAAAGGGACGTTTCGGGACTTTCAGCGTTAAAGGTTTCGAGATCATACAAATATATTTATTTCAAATAAGAGTTTGAAAAACTTTCAGGAAAGTCAGTTCACTTTGATTGATGATCGAGTTGCTGGGTCTGAGCTGTTATTAATGTCAGCTTTACGTGTTGGCTCCATTCCTGTTATTATCTCTGATTTTATTGTTTTGCCCTTCAATGAAGTGATCAATTGGGATTTGTTAGTTGCTAATACGCGTAAACTCGGAACAGATAATATACAAAAAGAATTTCTACTAAATTTGTCGAGATAATGTCCAGTAATTCAACGCATTGTTCTAGCTGTAAATATGCTGTATTGTATATTGTATTATGATATTGCATACAGATCCTAAAGTAAAAATTGAAGTATTTTAATTCAAATTAGTCCTGTCCTTTCAGATTGTCATTGACCTTTCCCCGAAGTCGTTTGTCTTCTGTTCTCACATTCTTGCGAGTTTTATCATCGGAACGAAAACAGCGCATGAGAGAACAAATTTCTTTCGTTTATAGTCGTTATTTTTCTTCACTTGAAAAAATAATCCTTACGACTTTAAGGATCTTGGAGAGACGTATTATTCCAAATTCATTTACAACATACGACGATTGGAATTGCAATTCTTCAAAGGTAGAATAATTTTAGAATCTGTACATTTAAAGCTATTATGCTTTCATTTTAATCAGATGTTTTGTACTCTGCAATTTCTGAAATCAAAATTCTACGTGATTCGCTGACTTGTCTTACATTTGTATTACAGAATTGTTTTGTTCCATCGCTCTTCCATCCTTTCCACACTTCTGCTGAGGGCTTCACGGGTGTTATCTTGACATACAATAAACTGAATTCATTATTTGTTATTATACGATTGCTTGCCAAAGTAGCCAGCTTGAGAAGCATTGTCGTTGTGTGGAATCATGCCGGTGAGCCTCCTCCAAGTAAGAAACTTTTTTATCCATTAACTTGTTAGCTATTTCAAATCTAGCATATTCATGAATATTATTATCACGATTGTAATAATATGCGATATATGAAGAAGCAAAAGTAATCAAACAAACAAACAAAAAATTATGTTTATTTTACGAATTTAATATATTCTCAGTTAGTAAAAGTGATTTTCTGTCCTTTTACAACAAGTTCCTTTTTCTTTACGTTATGGAACTGTTTTTTCTTTATGTTATAGAATTATAAGAAACGATTTTTATTCTATAGTGACCGAATGGCCGCATATAAATCAACCCATTCATATTATCCATATGGACAAAAATATGCTGTCCAATCGATTTATTATGTTTTCGGAAATAACCACAGATGCAATATTCTCGCTTGACGAGGATACAGTTGCTATGAACATTGATGAAATCGAATTTGGCTATCAGGTATCATATCAATTCAGAAGTTTCAGAACACAAAAATTTTCTGCAGTCAGGAATTTCAGCAGTAATTTTTTAATAAAGTAAGTCTACAGCATAGAATTATTTTGATTCAATTTATACGCAAAGACATTATCATCGTTGGACATCCAATTAAACGTGAAAATATCTGTAGTTTTATAATCATTGTCTCAGACATGGCGAGAAAATCCGGATCGTTTGGTCGGATTTTTGCCGCGAGCTGCTGTTTTCAATGAATCTACCAGGTTATATGAATACCACACGGAGTGGGCAAATTCGATGAATATTATTTTGATGGGTGCTGCATTTTATCACAAGGTTAAGTGAAACCTGTTTACTTTCAACTCTTTTTTTTTCTGGGAATAAAGAGAAGCAATTTTTTTTTGGCATATCATTAATTTTCGTAGAGTTTCATTCAAAATTTGAAATTTGATTCGTGTTTTAAAATTCAATTGAATTTGTAAAACTGGCAATTTTTGTTCACTAATATCTAATATCGTAATTTCTTTCTGCAGTACTATGGAATGTTATATCACGAATTATTACCATCAGAAATAATCGAGTATGTGGAAAAGAATAGAAACTGTGAGGATATTGCGATGAATTTTTTAATTAGTAGTGTAACTGGAAAAAGTCCACTGAAAGTTACACCGCGAAAAAAGTTTGTTTATCCAAGTAAGTATCCATCTCTTATTGGATATCACAATGGTTACTTATTTCATATATGTGCTTTATCGCATATTTAAATACAGATAAAAATTTTTCATGTCCTAAGTGGCAGAACATGCAGTGAAGGTCTGAATGAAACTTCCATTAATGAATGAATATCTTTTTTTTTTTCTAATGTGCGTCTTTCAGTTTTCTGCATTTTTATTTGAATTTGAAAGTGTTCAAGTCACAAAGTTAAAACCAAAATGTACTGCATGTTTTTGTTTTTCAGAATGTGTTAATAGTGATATGTCGACAAGGAATGTTCAATGTTTGCTCCAGCGTTCTACTTGTATTAACCTATTTATTTCATATTTTGGTTATAATCCACTAGTTACAAGTGTTTCAAGATATGATCCCGTTTTATATAAAGTACCTTTCGGAGGTGTCACTAACCCATACAGTCAGGTTGGACCACTTTGAGAAGGTGCTTCATATTGTTCTAAATTGAAGTTCTTACTACTATTGCTCATGAAATATTCATAGCTTACAACTTTCACTTCTAGGTTTAGTTTCAACATTTGTTCACTTAGTCATACTGTGGATTGAAGTGTAAAAAAGTTAGTATTAAAAAGGAGTGATGCATATAAATTGGCCTATAATGATCTGATTCGTGTAAAGAATGATATCATATCCAAAGATAATACATCTCCAAAGAACCAAAAAAAAGACAAAAGGGTCATAAATTCATTCACGTAAATATTTTGTTCCTCGCAGTGCTTAATATGCTGCTTGATTAATGATATTTTTTAGGCATTATAAAAATTTTTTCAGACTTTTTTCAAAAAAATTTTTTCAAATTTTTTATATTAAGTCATAACTCGTAGGAAAGTTACTTTGAAAACTTTGCTAAATGTTATTATCGATTTATGTTTTCCGCATATTGTGGTGCTATCTTTATAATCATTGTGTATTATCAGTCTGTGCCTCTGTTTCATATTGTTTTATTTAAATTATGTTGCTCGGGTTTGTTTTTTAGTTCTTGAAGTTGATTGGACAGTGTTGTTTTGAGAAAGGGGAAATCTTGCTTTTTTTTTTTTTAGCAAAACTTTTTGGAACACTAACAACCGTTTTCGACCATGGATTTGCAAAGGTCGAATTTCCTCTTTTTTCCCCACTTCGTCTTTTGTCTCTTCCCCACTATAGCTTATATGATTGTGCTATCATTATCTTACTTTTTTCTGTGATTTCCAAATACATGGCTCTACTTCATTTTGATTTTCTCTCTGTGCTGAAGTTTTGCTGCTATTGGTGATCTCATCTATTCTAATTTGTCGAATACACTAATTTACTTAAAATAAAAATTCACTGTAATTGTAGATGGTTACTTTCTATTCTTCTTCACTGGATGGAGTTTTTGCTATATTGAACTTTTAGCTTATTTGCATAAACATTATTTGTACTAGATAGAATTCTTTCCTTCGAGAACTTTGCACATAACTTTATGTAATTTTTAAATTCAAAACAGTACAAAGAGTTTTAAGAGAGAACAAGGAAAAGAAATACATTATTTGATATATATACATGGCTTTATTATCAGATCACTTCTTCCTCATATGGGTAAATCTTCTGTCATGTAATTATTCATTTTAGATACCTAATCTTTTTTTGTTGCTGACTTCTGTTTTGCAGCTGCGAACTCTTGTTTATGCTGCCTTTCCAGATTGATGGAAGCAAAATACTCGCGTATATTATAAGTTATAACGGGCAAACCTCGTGCTCGTAATTTGGCAGCAAATACCAAATCACCGTCATCATATCCTACCCATCTGCAAAACCATTGGTGCTACTATTGCAATTCATTAAGCGGACTGGATTTGCTAGAAAGAATTTTTTTTTTTCGAAAGAGTATTTTACATATATTATAGAGATAAGCAATTCTTCTACACATCTAGCAGAAAATCAAATTTGTGTTATTTCTTTCCTATAGCAATTAATGGTAACTAAATGGTTTAATTTCCTAAATGATAGATATTTAAGGTAACATTTCTTCACATTTTCATGCTTTCATTGAAAGAATGGAAATTCCCCAAATACTGGGCAGTATATGATATGGGGATTTTTTTTTTTGCGTATATTGTTAGTTGATAACTAACCTTGAATAGCATCAAAAGTAAGAGCTAACCGAGTGCTGAAAAACTTATGTGTCCTTCTATGAACATACCATCCAAAAAAATAAGTAAACGCTGTCAAAAACCACAGTACTGTAAGGACAATGTCTGCAATTGAAATTAAATTATGAACTTTGGGAACAGTATGCGAAAACTAATTCTAATTTGCTGTTCAGACAGTCTTAGCTCTTTAGTAGATTTGAATGATATGATAACAATAGAAGTTTAGCTTAATTTGGTCTATATATAACCAAAATAAATGGAAATTTAGGAAGTTAAATTTGGAAGATCGAAATTTCTTTTAAGGTCTATGAAATGTTCAATACAACTAATCTAAAGAATCAATATCTTTGACTAAGAAATAAATTGATCAGGACGATTTGATTATTGAATTATAAGTATCATTCTCGAAGGGTCTTGCATATATCAATGAATTTCCCGTACTGAATATCATAATCATGAGAATCCTGATAACTAACCTAGGATAGTTTTGCGCTCACCGGAATTGATGACCATCCATATTAAGGCAAAAAGGAACATAACAGCAATTCGGTAATAATATAATGCTATAAGAAGCCGATGCTGGAAGTTTTAGAAGATTTACATTATAATATATTTTAATATATTATAATATATTACTATTATTATATCCTCTTACCATTTGCTTTGATAACTTGCGCTAAATTCATAAGAAATTGAAAAGAACTTAGTAATCAAACGAATGAAAAAAATTTAGCTGAAAATGCTGAAAATTCAATTCAAAAATTTCAAATCAAACTTCAAATTCATGAATTCAAAATGGATTTTCTATTTTTGTTTTCTTTCTCTAAATTACATTTGTTTTTCTTCATCCTTTATTCTCTTATTTGAAAAAAAAAAGAAAAATAGAAAACTTACACCAATATATAATCCGACAGGTCCTGAAAGATATGATACGAAAGAAATATAAAGGACGAATAGTGGTACTACAACTGGCCATGTTAATGGATCCTGAAAATATTCATTGAATGTTGCTATCAAAGTTGTAATTTTAGTTGCAAATATCATATTTCAAAAACTTATGATAATTTCAAATATGCACTTAAAATATTACTGAAAATTATAAAAAAACAAGAAATAGAGTATCAATGATTTAAATGCAAAAAATGTACGGAAAGCGATAAAATTTGCAAATTTAAAAAAAAAATTAGAGATCTTAGATTTTTCAAGAGAAAATTGAAATTGCAATTCCTTTATCCACAAAAAAAAAACTGAAGAACTTAAGGAATACTATAACTTCGGGTTGGCATTCACACCTTTAATACTTGAGGAAATTTTTAGAACATTTCACGATACAAAAAGGAGTGTTTTTTAACTTTGAAATTTAAAATTACAGAAGAGAGCATAAAAAAACAACGAATTATTACATATATATATATTTTATTATATTCAGTATAGTCTTTATAGAAATTTCAATTTCAATTTTACTTTACATTTCTCTTCGATGACCAAATCATATACCTTACAATCAATTTCTTTCTTTCAGTGACCTCTTGAACTACATTTAACTCTTCTATTGACAAAAAATTTCCATGCACTTTTAAATTTGAGGAAAAAAACAAAAGTTAGAGAAACACTTCTGTAGAATAAATTTTTTTTTTCAATTTAAAAAAAAGTTTATTTCATTTGCGTGAATTTCTAAAAATTTTACATCATGATAATGAAAAAAAGCAATGAGGAAGAACATTGAACACGTTGACCAGAAATCGATGATACAAAAAAATACACTTGCCACATATGAATGTAAAGCTCCACAGCAAACATCATATTCATCGCTGGAATTTTTTTCCTTAAAATTAAAATTGAACAAAATTTATTGATCATTTCAAATTTAAACATTTTATTAATAATTCATTTGATATAATATATGCTTGATTTGAATAGTTTATTCCATTCACTGACAGACAGATATATTTGATTTTTCAACTTCAACTTCTCTGACACAAGTAGAATTAAAGGTCAGAAGCTAAAAGAAATGTAATCAAATTTGTCATCCTAATTCACCTGTCATCTTCGCCAAGTTCCGGAAGACACATTGGAAATAGAAACTGTTCAATTGAAAGCAAAAATAATGAAATGACATTAATTTGAACGGTTTCTTAACTTTATACACTAATAAAGGTCGCATTGCAAGTGATTAATTGTTGTTGTAATCATTCCATCAAAAATTTGATATCTTCAATTTTAGAGTTTTATTTTCAAAATTATAGATGAGTCTACCATTATATAGGGTCATACACATCTCAGGATGATGAGTCGTTTGATCAACAGTAAACAAAAATAAGTGGAATTTTAAACATGTTTACTCGAGTCCTTCCACTCTATTATCTCTCGAAAAGACTAACCAATGAAGTAACTTCTTAACTTTTCATTTGTCATGATTAGGTTTTATGCTTAATACTGACAAAATGAAGTATTTCTGAAAGTATAAAATCCTGGGAAACACAATTTTTAATAATTGAATTTTTCTACATACGAAAAATTCTGAAGAGACATCAACTTGTCCATTCCATCGAGAAAATGACTCGAAACAAAAACAATAACTTGCATGAGCAAATGAATTATACTTTTCTATTAGAATGATTCAAGATTAGCAACGGAAATGAAATGTCAAAGTATGCAATGTGCTAAAGTACATGTAATTTTATTGCAGTAAAACATTAAATTGTAATGTCAAAAAAAAAGAGCGAAGGATATATTTTACTCATCATTTAAGATTCGAATAATATACTTAAACAGAATCCTAATAACAGAATTTTTTTTTTTCACTTTTTTTGACTAATAATGAGTACTTTTGCTTAACTACAAATAAAGATAATATATTTGAAGGAATTTTTCTGTAGGAAAGGCTGGAACAGTGATTATATACATCTACAGAATTAATACAGTATTTGGTATGGAACAGGTGCAAAAAGAATTAAACACCATAAATGCTAACAAAGAAATTATTGTTGAGAATGTACACAGTTAAGAATGTTAAAAGTAATTTTATATCATAAATACAAGACGCGAAATATGCACATCGATTAACAAGTGACAGCTTTTTCACTAAGAAATAAATACAAATGTTGAATGGATAAAATTCTGTAAAATTTCCAGCTTAATGTATATTTTTCGTTTATTAAAGTAATTATAATTCAAACCAATATTAAAACTGTTGATAAAGTGTTAACAAATTTATATCATTCAATGTCCCTTAAAACCGTGCTAACAGTGAATTTAGAAAAGAAATAATTTCAGGTTCGATTGTTCTACCTTCTTCATGCATGCCGT